GGATTTTGTGCATGGGCATGCACCATGATTATGAAGTAGTCAAGTTGGTCTTTTGGCCCTGAGAATGTCAAAGTTCTGTGTGCCCTTACCCTCCCGCTTGCATGCAGGGTGCCACCTCTGTTCTCTGCTCTCCTCACCTCTCAGAAGCAGTCATCAGGAAAGGCATTTGGGTCTAAATGGAATTCCAAGGAAAGTAAGATAACCCTCCCCTTCCGTGCTCAAGTGAATGCTCAGATTTACAGTTGCTTGAAAATCCAGAGAAAATGTTCTAGAATTCTACCAGCCAAGAGATGAAAAAGGTTCAGACTTTCTAAAATGCTACCTTCCCTTGATTTACACTACAGGGACACTAAAAGAAGTTGGATGATATCAAGTTGAGGGTACTGTGAATTTTAAAAGGAAACTTAGTTGCCTGTTCTTACTGATCTGAAAGTGTTTTTCTTATGCTTTGGGCTCAAACAAGTTTTTAAGCTCTGTTTATTCAATCATTAAAAGTGTATTGAACATCTGAAAATTTCCCAGCACTCTATAGAGCTGACAATTTATACCTCAAGGGCTCAAATAGACAATGGTTTTACATACTAAATTTTAGAATAATCTTCCAAAAAAGGAACTTATCTCCTGCAAAAGAGCTTTCCAATATGCTATAAACCAAACATCCCAAATTTTAATTTACACCTTCATAGACTGAAGGAATTAAAAATATGCCATCTCAGTATGCTGAACTAGTATACTGATTACTTTAAGCTGAAATTACTCGAGGAATTGTAACTTCAGAGGCCTGTACTTTCCTACATGCAACAAGTCATAAAGATTCATTGGGGAGGGTTGTCCTTCACATACCAAAGCTGAAAATAAATTTGATTACCAGAGACTGATAATTCTGGCTGCACTGAACTCAAACAAATTCTGAAGTAACCCTTATCTTCCTCTCACTTCTGTCTCTCTCCCCCATATCACTTAGTAACATCCCTAGAATTTCCTACCCTAGTCCAGATATCCATTTATCTTGAAATGACTTCACAGATATTTTTGTTCTTTTGTCTAAAACATAAAAGATTAATGTTTTGGCTATTTCTTCATACTTCACTCTCTTGTGAAGATACCCATGTGCATGTAAAATGAATGCAACTTTATGCTTTTTTCTTGTTTATCAGTTCATCTATTAATTGTGCTCCTAAATCTAGCCAAAGAGCCCACATAAGCACTAAGGAGGAAATAGAAGAAATCTCTCTCTCCTGTATTGTGAAGTCATATTTGTCAGTACTAGAGATTGCTAGGCAAGTCCACTACCACTGAGCTATACTTCCAGTCTCTCCTTTTTGTAAAAAATTGAGACACAATCTTGGTAAGTTGTCCAGTGAGGCCTAGAACTTGTGATCCTCCTACCTCAGTTTCCTGGGTATGTTGGTATTACTAGTGTGTGCCACCACACCTATCAGTTTTTTTAATGTAGCCTAATTTCATGATATTTTTGGAGTCCCATGCTGTAAATTATTTGTAAGGAAACAAAACAAATACACAACAAACAAAAGATGGTAATAAGATAAAGGTGAGGGTGTGCTTATGTCTTCATACCTTTTAAAAAAAGTATTGGAATGCATAGAATAGCTCTAGAACTTATCCTCAGGACAAAGTGTAAGTTAAAATAAATTCATATTGATATATGTAAATTAGCACAAAAATGGTTAAGCAATTCCTTTTACTGTAACCTCTTTCTGGATGAAAGAATTAAGTGTGGTTACCGTTGTCCAGTTAGAGGAAGTGGTATGGTATGGAGGACGTCAGAGGTCTTGAAATATTGAAGTACTGTCAGCATTTGCTCTTCACAATAGAGGTTTGTAAACTTTTTTTTTTTTTTTAATAGAAAAGACAATTTAGTAGACATTTTAAGATGTTCCTCTTTCTCCCATGGTTTTATGTATGTATAGAATTTATGCAGGCATCATTTTTGTAACGCCATTGAATTCATGAGAGAGCAAACCATCAAGATAAGAAAGGTTTGAGGTCTCCTCGATGTGAAGTTTAGAGACTCTTCACTCCAAAACACTCTAAAGAACATTTTAAAGCTATTTTTCTCTTGTGTGAGGGAAGCTAGGCAACCTATATTGTCATTGAAATAGAACAGGGTTTTATGTTTGTGTATGAAAATGGAATTGCTTTAGAATATCCATAATTAGCAATTTCTATTAGCATGCTTTCTTCCCTATAAAAATGTTGTATATCAAAGAATATTCAGAATGTGAAGTTATATGGAATAAACTCTAATTTGTGCTATAACCCTTTTATATTGCTTTTCCAATTCAATTATGAGAAAGGTAAAAGGATATCTTTTTACTACACTTTTTTGTTAAGGCAGTTTAGTGATTGACCTAATTTAGTCTCCTATAAAGAAAACAAAAACCATACAGACATTAAGTTCAGTATTTCAAAAGTAATCCAAAAATATTGAAAAATGGCTTGCCATGGGCTACTGAAATACAGCATATCATGGTTATCCTGAATCGTTTTCTTCCTGGTTCATAGGTCATGACAAAGTAACAGCTAAACACAGTTGAGGAAATCTTGATGTTTCAGAATAAACACAGTAATTCACACCATAATTTACTTTACACTTGACAAACTTTATTAAATAGTGGGCATTACTAACTTTCATTATCTTATATACAGTATTTAACTGTTTTCCTAGATGCATCCCCCCCCAAAAAAAAAAAGAATAAAGTCGGTGAAAAGTAAACTTATAAAAAAAAATTGACCCTTCCATACAGGAACCTAATAAGAACCTTTAAGTACAGATAACTTTTTCCTCCCAGTTATATACATCCCCACCCACCTCCAAAACAAACTACAAAAGCACTTAATTGATAATTTTGGGGAAACAGACCAATATGACTATGTATTTACATACAGCTGACAAAATTGTCATTCTGGCCCACGGGAGTGATCTATAAAACTACAGATTTGTCTTAGAATCCAAAGGACCACATAGACACGTCGTACAGTGAAACATCCACTTTCATGCAGTAGAGTGTGTTTGTATAGGTGACATCAAAGCTGTTTAACGAGACACTGGTGTGAACAATGAATGATTCTGAGACTTAGGCACAATAGTACTGTGGACCTTGGAGAATTTGGTTCAGAGAGACAAAAACAGAAAAATGGAAGGCTGCATTCCTGGATAAGAGTCAGGTAACTTTGTGTTTTGCTTTTTTAAAAAATAGGTGATATAAATGCACTACACCTCTAGGAAGTCTAAGAAAGAACTTTCTTCAGTGCTTGTCTTTTGGATGCTGCTTAATCTTGAAAACTCACATCAGGTTTAAATAAAATCAATCAAAGAAGGAATGTTTCCAGAATCATGCTGTTTAATATGGACTTTCCCTCCACCTTTGGCAGGGCTGGGGATCAATCGCAGAGCCTCATGCGCGCTGGAAGCCTGCCACAGAGCCACACCCCACCCCTGGACTTCACTTTATGAGCTACAAGAAGACAGAAATGCTTGAAGAACAAGAGACCTGGTGTTTTGTTGTTGTTTAAAGTGGAAAAAATGCTCTAGGTACCTATTTATAAAATGAGGATGTTTACATTTTATGTTTTAAGTTAACAGAGACAGGACTTAAAAAGAGGAAAAGAGTTATGGGAAGATGTCACTGATTTAATTAGTGCTTTCCTTCAAGTGAAAAGGCCACACACACACACATATCAGTGTATCTTTTAAAATGGAAATGACTGGCTTTTAATTAGAATAAAGAGAAAATAAAATTATAAAGGAAACAGAGGGTGAAGAAAGGCCACAGAATGTATAAATGCTGAAATTGAGAATATAAAGGGCATTGCAAGGAAATATCCTCATTGCATTCATGCAATCAAGAAAATAGAATATTTTTATAAAGTACCAATAAATCGGCCTTCATTTATCTCAGCCTTCTTTGATTTTTGCTTTTTATTTACAATGTGATGCTTTTGGTGTTTTGTTTCTTCCAAAAGGAGTTAAATTTGTATTTAATATCATAATGAAATGCTTCATAAAGCACAATTATAGCATAAAAGATGTTATTATCCAGAACCCAGTAACCAAAGACTGTTCTTTCATATGCCTTGAAATAATGAAAACATGTTATGTACTGTTTAGAAAATAAGTTCTTGCCCTTTCCTTTTAGCAATGACTCCTTGGGGTAGGATCTAGCAGGTCACTGGCAGAGTAAAAACTCAAGAAGTTGCCTATGGAACAATGCTCTGGAAGGGTGATTTTAATGTGCTTTGTCTGATTTTTAGCTTATGGTTTATTTCTCCCTAATTAGAGTTAGGCACACACAATGACATCATAGGTTTTTTTTGGTCAAACTGTCCCTATTTCAACTATAATATGAATGGATAACCAAGTTGTTCCCCCTGAGTCTTTCCATCTTTCTAACAGTAAGTTAGTTTACGCTTTAGTGAATTCGTTTTCTTTAAGCCATGAAGGAAATCATTCATTTCATCCCAGAAATCGTATCATTAACATGATCAGTAGCACATTCATCAGGACTTGTCCAGAAATACAGGTAAAGGCTTTTACTTACAGTGAATTGGTCCTTCTACATTTTAGTTTTCAATGGTCACACAATTTCTGAGTTGAAATGAAATGACACAGGAATGCCAGCATGGAAATCCTAAAATAGGCATCACGACTATGTTCTAACTAGAGATCTCTGGCGTAAGTTATTCCAGGGTCTTGTCACAACTGTAACAAAATGTCAGCTACAAGCATAATTCTTTAAACAGCGCTATAGTTCCTTTCTTTCAAAATATGAAAAAGTCTCCTTGCTGCCTTTGTGTTGTAGGTTTTGAGAGGGTTACTGCATTTCTTCAAGTGTGGGCACTATTGTCAGGATATGGAAAAAATACGTTACCCAAAAAGCCTAAAAAATTTCAAGTAAGATTGACTTACATGAAAGTGAAGACAATCAGCATCTGAGAAGAAGATATTATTCAATGCTGACACTAAAGTATAATCCTGGCTGTAGGGTCAGCCGGCTCAAAAAGTTGTGCTGTAAAAGAAAGTATATTTTACACCTCTGGTTATTACAAAATTGTTTTAATCTGATACATACAAAACCTATCAGTATCTGTGATTTATGAGTGTAAGAGGAAGTTAATTCAGGCAGCTATTACTGAGAAGCCTTAGGCAAAGCTACTTGAACTAAGACACTGAAATTTTTCCCTTAGAGACTGGACAATGTTTTGTTGATTGGGAGACGGCCCCCTCCAAAGGTAGTCATTCAGTTTGTCAGAATCACTGTATGCTGTCAGATACGGTGAAAGCCCAAGTTTGCTGTTTATGGGCTCTTTTGGAGTGCATGGACTATTCAAGGAGTAAGGTGGGTTGTTGCTGCAGACATTATCAGAGAAGTCGGCATCCGCGATCTTGGAGTCAGATTTCCTTCTGCGACTCTGCAATAGCTCCAACTCCACCTCGTCTTCTTCAGACTTTATTTCCACATAGTCATCTTCATCTTCAGTCTCTTTGAAATTGGAAAAATAGTTCTGTGTGGCTAGGTGGGCGTTTAAAGGTAAATTTCTATTTACTACCAGAACTTTCTGTGAGTCTTGGAGTGTGAGGTCAGAGCATTTTTCAGCACCCTGCTGACATGAATCAGCTGTACCTGGCAGCAAATCCTGGTGGCTCTCACACCGTGCATTTTGGTGTAAGGACAGCAGCTGTTTCTTTCCCATCTCGCTGGGATAATTGATGGAGTCCATTGATTTGTTTATCAAGATGGAGGAAGAAGACTGGGACCTGTTGTAAGGCTGGGATTTAGCACTGATTCCTTTCCGACCCAGCGAGTTGTAAAGATGGCCCTGACATGAGTTCTCTTTGTGGGGCTGACTTACTACCACACTGCATCTCTGCATGGAGCCCAGGAGAGGGTCAGAGATTTGAAGAGAAGGCACAGAGCAAGCTGCAGACAACTGTCTTGGGGTACTTTTGGTACCAATATCTAAAGTGGGATACTTTGACCTCAAGTCTTGCTCTGGCCGGGGACAGAAATCTGCTAACTCTCCATTACTATAAGTTGAATGCAAGAGCCAATCCTCGCCACCATGTTGGCCCTGGGAAGGTGAGGCAGCCCTGAGGAGGGACGGTTCCTGTGTGCTGGCCCAGCCATCCTTCTGAATTTTAAGGGGCGTCTCCCTGAAGACAATCTGGTCATACAGTTGGGAATACTCAGCAATCCTGGCACCTGGAAGGCAAATATGGAAACAATAAGTATACCTGGGATTGTTCCTACATAGAAAGATTAAGTATAAAAACATAATGTTCTAACCAACATATTAAAACAAAACTTAAATAGTAAGTAGGACTTCGAAGTTTGAGGATCAGTGATCACTGAACACAAAGCAACACAAACTAAAACTCAGTTTAAGAAAACTAGAAATGCCACCACAAAGTTCATTTAATTTGACCTCCTTTTGTATTTTTTTATTTTAACAGCAGGTCTGCAAGTGTCCACTCTACGTAATGAAAATACCTAGTGTTCCTTTTAAGCTGGAAACAGTGTCAGTGTTGAAAACAGGCATTGTAAAAACAAGAATGCCAGCACTTACGTGCTGGTTAATAAAAAATAAGCAGCCACTCAAAGAAGTATGACCACAATGCCCAGTGCAGTGGTCACCCCTGGCTTCTCCCCACCATGCCCCTAAAGGAGTCTGCTCCTGCGGCGGTTCTTGCACTTCTAGTTTCCAGACAGTCCTTCACGGCCACTGTCTGGGGAGCTGATGTCTAGGGGAGGCCTTCCCCTCTGTATTTCCAAAACATGAGAACTGACTCCCATCTCCTTTCCCAACCCAAGAAGCCAGGTAGTGAAGCCATGAAGAATGAGCCACCTGCTGGGGCTGCAGCTCAGTGGCAGAGCCCTTGCCTAGCACATGTGAGGCACTGCATTCGATCCTCAGCATCACATAACAAATAAAGGCATTCTGTCCCTCTACAACTACAAAAAAATAAAAGAATGAACCAAATGTGCATGTACATATGCAATACTCTAATGCTTTCTAGTGCTGGCTCAAGGATAGGACTAGACAGTTACTCCACAAAAAATATAAGCTGTGAGGATGGCAGCTCCTTTTCCCCACTTCGGAGACAGACATTTATAAAGATACCAGCTGAACTACGATAGAGAGAGCATTCTCTTGGGCCAGAAATGACTGAAGATGGGGAGCCCAGAGATGTCTATTTCAAGAGTTGTTCTTCTCTCCAATCCAAGCACCCTAGAACCGAAGAACTCCATGCATCCTATAAGTTTCTCAGACCACATAAACACAATCTTTAAGAGGACATTTACCCTGTCCACAACAACAGGCAAATGACATTATGTTTTCTTCTTCTCCTTTAAACTATATTTTTAATAAACTGTTATTTGTATATTATCTTTTGAATTTAAGCTAAATAACTCATTCAGTTTAATTTCTGCCTTTTTTTTTTTTTATTCTGCAGTGCTGGGGACTAGACCCTGGGCACATGCTCTACCACAAGCCACATCCCTAGCACTGCCACCTCCTTTGAATCCATCTTCTTTGAAGACAGACACAATCAGCTGTTATGGTGTGTCCTCAATTCCCTCACCCCCTGCTCCTGCAATCAAGGGAAATGGTCTAACTTCTCATCTCTGAGCCCATCTTCAGATTCTTTGGGTTTTTAATTCCAAATTCCTTAGAAAGACAGAGAATATTAGTCTAGAAATTTCTAGTAATAAACCATGGGGAATTCCTCCTGAAATAGCATAGTAAAAATTCTTAATAACCAATTAATATTTAGCAACACCTTAAGAGAAAGCATGTGGAAAGTCTACTTGGTCAGCGATATACTTTATGTCAGCCATCCTGAGACCTGTGATGTTTCATTAACTATGACACCCGCTCAGAGGCATCCAGAAGCCTCAGAAATTAAACTGAATGAGTTATTTAGCTTAAATTGGGCAGTCAGATGGTGCTGCCCAAGACTTTCTCCTGCACGCTACAGCCTGAACTTGATCCTGCTGAGTCAGGAAGCCTTTACAAGTTTCATGAAGATGACAATTTGGGGAGAAAATAGAACTCATTAAGGATTCAAATTATTTCAGTATTAGAATTTAAACACAAAGTCTTGTAAGAACAATCAGCTTGTGCCTTTTGCCTAGCTATTTGAAAATATATATTGTCCGGAATGTTTCTCATCATCCACAGTATTTCTCAGGTCTGCCTCTCATATTCTCCTTTTTCTCTGCTTAACAAATTCTACCTACGGCTCAAGATCTTCCCTAAGCCCTATTCTTCCATGAATCCTTATCCAATGATTTCTCCTCTTTGAAGTCTTCTATGTGTACATATATACACTTGGAGACTTTCACACAGTATTGTATTGCTAATTGTTTTTATAGGTTGGTTTATTCCTCTAGATAATGTATGAGCTTTTTGATCTTGGAGGACAAGATTGTACAATGTGCTCTTCTCCCTATAGAGCACCAACAGAGACTGGTTTCAATAACAACTTCACTCCCCAGATAATATTTATACTGCCTCCTTTTATTTTAAGCAAAGGGTCAGGAATGGATGGGCTTTTCCTGAGACCATGCACTCAAGTGGAAAGACAGCCTGGAAACCAGGTCATAGCAGGAAAAGGGGAGGCAGGAAGATGGCCTTGGATTAAAATACTTCCTATACAACACTCAGAATGGGCATAGTTTATCTTTGGGTAATGAAGAGTTGACCATTTATCATTTTCAAATAAAAACATCTCAGATCTCAGATCTCACTAGTACACAATACATTGTGCTTTCTACTTTTTTTTTTAATATCAACTTGACCAACTAAGAGAGTATGTAACCTACACAAGGCGCCAGTGTGAAAGAGAGAGAGAGAGGTTTATAGAGTGTCCCTGTGCTAGAACAGACCCCGACAGCCAGCTGCATGGGAAACAGACAGCTGAAGATGGCTTGTTCAGCCCCAAGAACTCAGCCCTTGCCAGAAAGGACCAGATTCCCCATATTCTTATTTCTGGCATTGCTTTCATAGGAGATGATGATTAACATTACACAACACTCTGAAGGCTGCCTCTGGTTTGTATCCTTTTCTGAAGGTTTGAAAGTTACAGATTTGAAAGTTAGGATTCCAGATAAACATCTGAAGCAATCCCTGCCAAGGGAAATCTCAAAAAAGTGTTTCCAATGTAGGAGTAAAATCCATGTTTCTGACGTTGCCTGAGATTTAAACAAAAGCATAAAATTGTGCCTTCCCTAGTTTCTACAAGGAGGAAAGTTCCTCAAGCCTGTATGGAATTTTCTATCATGTGAAATATCACCAAAAAAAAAAAAAAAAAAAGTACCCCCGAGGCCTCCTTAGTCTCAAAGACTACCAGGAGGAAGTCTGACTGAACCGAGGGCCAGCATGCTAGGACAGGCTCTAAAATGTGGGAGCGACTAGACCTGGTTGGGTGATTTATAGGCGGAAATCTGACCCCGGGGCCTGTAGACCCTGGGCAGAGCGTTCAATAAAGATGCTGGAGAGTTTCAGCAGGTGAATAGGGCGCTCCTCCTTCCGCACAACACCGAGAGCAAGCTCCTGGCAAAGTGGCAAGGCCCACGCGCAGAAGTCTGGAGAATCGGTCCATTCGATTACGACGTCCTGTGCCCAGATAAACAAGAAAGAGAAAAGGAGTCATCATGTCAACTGATGGAACGCCTCTTGGGCACAGGAAGTGATCTCCATCACCCAGGTGGAGGAGGTGTGGATCTAATTCACCAGGTCTGAGAGATGGCAGGCCCTAGGGACGTGCACCTGCCAGACAGCAGGGGAAGACAGCACTCGTGAACGATGCCCTGGGAGAGATCTTCTCTTTGTTGGGGAGGATGTCGGTAGTAGCCTACCATGTTAAGGCAAGACCCGGATGCAAAGCTCAGGAAAGATCCTGGGGTATCCCAAGAAGACAGCAGGAAGCAAACAAACAGGAGAACAAACTAAGTGAAAAGAAGCCAAAGAAAAACCCATCTGAAATAAATTCATACTTAAAAGGTAAGTTAAAAAGAAGACATTCAAGGCAGCTGCAAGTCCTGATCATTTAGAACAGAAGGGCTTGCTTCAATGAAGATAGAGGTTTGCATTTTTGTGGATGGTACATACTCTAAGTAACCTGGCCAAGGTTATTACTACAGTTTCAGCAATAGTTCACTGGTATAATCCATTGTCACTGGGAATCTTAGCATTAAAACAGTGAGTGGCTGCAATTGCCAACACACAACTATTTCTAAGGCCATCTGAGCCTCCCCAAGAGTGTCCTTCTGCCACTAGACCTGCTGCTTTCTTCAAGTATAACAATATACCAGCTTGGTGACACTAGCATTGGAAAAGGGACATAAATTACCATTAGCACATTATTACAAGGAGAAAAATATTTGCAATTTGATCTCTCTCCTGTTCCTACAAAAATCACTTTTCATCATTTTTATTAAAAAGAAGAAGGACTCAAAGAGTCTGTAAAATCCTTCCGCTATCAATTGCAAGCCTTCACTTCCCTATCTACGGTAGGAAATTTTACTGAAGATTAAAGCTTTGGACAATTCTTAAATACTTATGAACTTAAAAAAAAAAATCCCTACGGATTCTCATTATGTAACTTGTGACTTCACTGAGGATTTTGATATCCCCTTTCTGCCCTCTGGTTTCCATGGCGATAGGTCAGTTCTAAAGAAGGCAGTTAGTGGCACCAACATGTCCAGTTAGTGGCCCTGTGTGCCCAAACATGCTCTGTCACCATGAAACTGGTTAGCTGAATCTGCTGAAACTGAGCCACCTGATTTCTGTCTCTAATTGGAGAAGTGATCCCACTTTTTTCATTTGGAGGTGCTCCTTTATCAGAAAATCTAAGGGCAGGATTTCTTAACACCAGATGGAAGGGCCACCCTGTTTTAAAATTCAGATTCCTAGGCCTACCCCCAGAAATCTCTGTGCATCTGGAGGTTATAGCTCCTGAGATAAGAATCACTGCCTTGGGCTCTTCCTTCAAGACAATCCTGTGCTTTATTCACACCTGAGTTCTTTCTTTGAGATTAGTATTACATTCTGTCCTTCAAAGTAGTCCAGCCATGAACCTCTCATTCCTGTGCCCTCAGTCTCCCCAACACCACAAGTATGATCCTGGCTTAGTAACACCCCACAAAGCAGATCTAACTACAGAATTAAACTTCTTGCAGGCATCAGTGAGAATACCCAATGAGATGGTTTAAATGCACGAGAGCAGCTATTTTCAAAAACTGAGTAGTAGCCAAAATAGGCAAAAGAACAACTAAATTATAGTGTGGACAGCTAAGAAAAGTGCAAAGAGAATTCTTTTTTGTCTTGGTTAGCCAGAGTGGGCACTTCATGGAGGGTTCCAAAGCAAAGAACAATCACATCCTATATGCATTCAAAACCTGAAAGCTTTTCCAAGCTACTCCTTCTCCTTAGATGTTACTGATAGAGGGTAAAGTTCTAGGCTCCACAAGTTAAAACTGTTCGCATGCCCACTCCCATACCTTAGGTACCCTTAGAAAAAACTTTTTTTTTTAAAATGGCAATCTTGTAGTGATAATGTGGCATGGACACTCAAACCCTCTGAAGCCAAATCATGCACCATCCTGTGTAACTGAGCAGAGGTGAAGTGGGAAAGGCTACAGTGTCTTTGTGGTCCATGAGGTAGGAACGCTTGAGTGACAAGTGTTTTCACGGGTGCATCTACTAAGGACCCTGAGAATTCGAAGCCTGCTCTTGCACCTACTTTCAAGAAGGAAGAAAAGTGGAGTGAACGTACCAATAGCAGGCCCACCCTGCTTCTTCTCCTCCAGGATGGCTGCCAGGTCTTTGTGGGTGGATTTATGCTGACTGGATGGCGGCTGCTCCAACTCCGGACTTCTCACTTTTAAAAGCTGATTTGCCTTCTTGATCTTCTGGCTGTACTGCCTCGCCATCATAAAGACCCTGCTTTTTGTCTTATCTGTGACATCCATCCCAGGATCAGGGGTTTCGGGGTCTGTCTGGGGCAGGCTGCTGTTGGCTGAGTCGTAGGGGCTGTCCACCGGGGGCATTTCGCTGGCCAAGGAGAGTCGGTTAAGACTCACAAAGGAGCCTTCTGTAGAAATCAGGTCTTCTTCAAGTGGGTAGTTGGCCCGGCTAGCTCTGCCGGCCCTGCTTTTCAGAGGTGTGAGGAAAGCCTGGCTCTCAGGGAGGGACAGAGTGGATGTGGAGTGCCCGGGGTCTCTGTGCAGTTCTGGGGTGCTCTCTGCATGCAGCCTGTCTTGGACATCATCTTTATTTACAGGAAATGCTGCCAGGAGACGGTCTCTAGCTTTGTCTTCATTTTTCTTGATGTAATTTTCCAAGTCATTCCATATTTCATCTACCTCTTCAGACAGTTTATCAGACAGAGCCTTATCTGCTACAGTCAAGTTGCAGTTGGAGGAGTTGTACAGCAAACTCAAATAGTCATTGTCGGGGGGCCCCTGGTGGTAAGGTGCATCATCCTCACTGAACTGGAGGCTGTCTTGGGAAACAAATGGCCTCAGGCTGTCACAACATGCAAAGTCAGCTTCCAAACCCAAAAAGGTGCTCCTCTTGGGCCGCTTAAGGCTGTTGCTTTTGAAATCTGGAGGTGGTGGGTCTGGGAGCCCGATAGTGTCATAAATGTTTTCCTCTACCACCTGGAGCTCCTGAGTGCTTTGATGAGATGCCTCTTGACTGGTGAGCACTCCATTTCTTTTGGTGTGTAGGGAACTGGTACTATGGCCAGGTTGCCTCTTTGAGAAGGCTAACTCCGGGGTGCTCTTGGGACGAACGGAGTCCTTGGCTGATTTGGAGGGAGTGAATTCAGCTTCTTCCCGTTTAGCAACCATTAATTTCAAGTCCTCATAACTTATGTTATCATAGACATGGTCTATATCATCAATTGTCAACTCTACAGATGACCCAAAGGGAGTCATCCCTTCCTGCCCTTCTCTTTGTGGGCCGATCTGCAGTTCCCTTCGGGGACTATACTGAGAGCCACTGCTGTCCCTCCTTCTTATTTCAGTCGGGCACGTGTTGCTCTCACCGGCACTGCTGGCCCTCCGGACAATCCTGTGGCCAGAGCTGGAAACCTCTGAGAACTCCATCTGTCCCATATGCCAGCTGCAAGGGCGACTTGAAGTGCTCTCTTCACACAGTCGGGCCGAGTTCAAGTTCGAGGAAGAAAAGGATGGCACGAACATCTGGTAATCATCTTCATCATCCTCGTGCTCCTGGGGGGACCGGCGGCTGGGAAACAAGGCCTGCCTGATCTGGTGATCGGTCCAGATGTTTCTGATGGTGCCACCCCCACGAAGCACGCTGCTCACAGCAGAACTGCCTGGTTGGCTGTTCCTCTGGGCAGGAGAAGGCCCTGCAGAAGTCCGTTGGGGAGAGTCTTCCTCTCTAGACACCTGAGGAGGACAGAGACACATCAATGGGTTTCAGTGCCCCGGAGAAGACACCTAAGGAATTTCTCCTGTCCTTACATGTTGCCTCTGCTACTAGCCTGAAAGATTCAGAAAGAAAATAATGAAAATAATAATAAAGAAAATAATGGTAGGTGTTGCTGATTTTAACTGAGTTGAAAATCACTTCAGATTTTTGGAAAAGGGGCAGAATAGACAGGAGTTTTATTTATTTAGAAAGCAAGTTATGGGCAACTTGCAGACATCCTCCAAACTCAGTATTCACAATCCTTCTGTGAATTAGATATGATTATTCCAATATCAATAGGAAATCCTAGGGTCCTAGAGATTCTGTAACTTGTTCTACTGAGTCAGTAGCAAAGGCTAGGACTCAAACCTGGTTCGACTCCAAAGCCTGCCCTAAACCAGGAGATCAGCTAACTATGGAAGACTCTTAGATACTAAATAAGTCCATTATGCACATGGCAAAAATTCACTATATAATGGATATACAGAGGTGTCAAGGGCAAGGATATCTGAGAGTTTCTCAGGAAGGCTAATTCCAGCTCTTGACTATAAGGAATTGGATCATGGTTTCTGGTATACCAGAAGCCCGTGTTGGTGACCTGATGACCCACTCCAAGGGTTTCTTGACCACCACAAACCTGACCAGTACCATCTTGGTTTATAGATTCTATGTAAAGAGAATTTGTTCTAGGAATATAATTTCATCCACTGTTAAGTTAATGATATTTTTAATTTTGTTTCAAAATATATTTATTCAAAATATATTTATTTTGAATATATTTTGTTCAAATATATTAATTAAATGTTACTCAGAAGTAAAATATGAATGACATTAATGATATCTAAGAAAAGAAAACAATGGAGTGTTCTATAACTTGGGAGCTTTCTTGATGGAGCTCAACTTGTCCCTAATTCTTGGTGTTTAGAGAACCTGTACTATGGCCAGCTAATTCTGGGATGCTCAATTCTGCAGGCAGTAGTGGATTAGCCTCTGAGGCTATCTTGCAGGTAGAAGGGTCAGTTTCAAAGAGTTGAAAGGGTTAAGACCTTTTCAGACTGATGCATACCAGGGACACACTTTCTGATGGAAGCACTACAGTAACCTAATGGAAGTTGAATTAGCAAGAGCTTTCATGACATGTTAGTCTGTCTACCAGAAAAGGAAGAGTACAGAGGACAAAAATAAAATTTCATCCTAAATGTTTTTCTTCTAGCACAACTTCAAAACTTAAAATAGTTAATCCTTTATTTTTTTCACACATATAAACATATATAATATTTGTATGCAATAAATTTATTGTTTTTATGTATCCATTCCCCCATGTTTTAGTGTTTCTTCCTTCCCCTTAGACTGCACCTGGATAATATTTATAAAATAGAGGTACCTAGTAATTTACTTTCCATAAATTAAATGAGTTAATATTTGCTAAATTATGAGAAAACATTTTGATAGTGTAAAGAAACAATTTTGTGTTTTTTTTCTCAAAATACCAAAAGTAATCCTTCTTATGATCTTTCATCCCAGGAAACTTGCAGATATTTTGGAAAACTAGGAAATCCAGAATATAAGTATTGGAATATATTTTTACACTAATTACCCTTGAAGGTAGCCATACTTGTAAGATAAAAATTGACATCCAATAAATCATTAGAAGAACTGACAGAGAGCTAAACTTCGATTAGGAACTCATCAATAGGGGTTAGGGCTATGGCTCAGTGGTAGAGCACTTGCCTAGCATGTGTGAGGCCCTGGGTTCCATCCTCAGTATCACATTAAAAAATAAATAAATAAAATAAAGGTATTAAAAAAGAACTCATCAATATATTTAAATATAATTTAAATAAGCATGTAATTTAAATACCTCAATTTAAATGAGGTCCAAAGAGAACATTTTTTTGTGTGTGTGTGCTTTTCTATATTCTCAGCATTATGGTATTTAATAACTTGATAATAGCTATCATTTATTGAATACTTGCTTTGTGCCAAATAATGCATTAAGTGCTTTTAAAAACATATTGTCATATTAAATCTTTATAACAGTTTTGTAAATTAGGGCACTTAAGTTCTGAGAAAGTTACTGGACTGGACTGTAGTCATGCAGTTTATAGATGGCAGAAATGGATTACAATACACATCTCAACCACAGCCAATGTATGGACTTAACCACTCTAGGTACACTCATGCACAGAGCCTCAGAATATACCTATATATTCTGGTAGAAATATTATTATTAAGGGGAATTTCCTATTATAAGCTGTTTGATCATGGCTAAATCTGCTCTCGTGTTTCATGGACATTCAGGCCATTATTGTTAGGAGATGGAATTTTGCTACTGAGAAAGCACCCTGGTGTTTTCTCTCTTTCTTGTCTTCTGATTTTATGAGATTCAGTTAGTTCCCATCGGACTTGGCTTGAACTCTGTCATAAGAAGTTTCCAAGAGGCTCTTAGATTGATCTCTAGAATTAGAATGGAGAGGGACTTGGCTCCATGATCTTACTTTAGCTGCTTTAAGGAGCAGGGTAACTTCTGCAATGACTCTTATGAAAACAAAGATTAGAAGATCAAAATTTTGCTGGGCATGGTGGTGCATGCCTGTAATCCCATTAACTATGTAGGCTGAAGCAGGAGGATCGCAAGTTCAAAGACAACTTCAGCAACTTAGTGAGGCCCTAAGCAACTTAGTGAGACCCTGTCTCAAAATAAAACTGTGAGGGATGTGGTTCAGTGGTAGAGTGCCCCTGGGTTCAATCCCTGCTTAAAAAAATTTTTTTCATGCCATATTTCAGGAGAATAAATCAATTCATATCAATAAGTTTAAAAAGCTTCTGAACAAGAATTTGTATGACCTGAAAAATATACACATGCCCTAAGACATAAAAATCACTTAAATATAAGGTTATTTTGGTTGTTAGACATTTTATTGGTTTTAACTAAAAGATAAGCCTTTATTCACATGGTCATTTGGGCCCTGGTGTAACCTGGATTGTGGGGGAGAAATTCATCACAAGATAAACCATAATTGGTTAATTAAAAATTGTTAATTAAGCCAATTGATTAGTTGCCACATCATTACAATCACTCAGGTCAGGATACAGGTAACATATTTGGATACGTATTTTCCAACAGAACATACTGTTATTATTTTATTTCAGAGCTGGGGATGGAGCCTCAGGGATACTAGCCAAATGCTCTACCACTGAGCCACACCCACAGCCCAGACTGCCTTCTAATCCTCCTCCTAACCTTATATCAGAGGAATAAAAAAACATAACTTAATACAGCAATGTTCTGTATGTGACATACCATCACACCTCCTAGGGTAGTAGAAGGACAATATTTTAAGCTTTTTTTTTTTTGCTTGAGACAGGGTCTTGCTGTGTTGCCCAGGCTGACCCTGAACTCTTGGACTCAAGCCATCCTGCTGCCTCAGCCTCCTGAATAGCTGGAACTCCAAGCCTATGACCACCTGCCCAGCTCAGGACCATATTCTTAGAAGGAGCGAGCCCCTTGCCCTGTGATTGATAGAAGCCTCCCTCTGAGCAGGGAGGTGTATCAGGAGGCGAGGGCCTAGCTTTACATGAGCAGAGACACATGACAATGTGAGATGGCCCAGGCCAGTGCTGTGCAGGTGTTTTTACTTCCTAAGGTGAGCTTACAGCTCCCGAGGGGGATGGGGGGCAGAGGCAGAAACAAAGAGTTGCCTTAGTTCTAAGAAGAGGGAGGGAAGAAGTCGATAAATTAAATTACATGTAAATAATTAGAAATGTAAAATAAATATAAAATGTAAAATTGTCAAAATGTCAAGTACTGGTTTATGCTTGAAATGTAGGCTGGGGATGAGATACACTATCAAGAGGGGCCACTAAAATAAAGGGTAAATGCTTAGTTTCCATAGGACTTGGCTTGAACTCTGTCATAAGAAGAAGAAATGGTAGAGCTTACCTTTCGGATGTCTTGTACTGTTTCTGAAAAACAAAGAATTTTTTTTTCAAGTTTGAAAATTAAAAATATATCTCTTATATTAGCTAAGCACTAATATTTTATAGGACTTCTAAGCTTAGTGCTTGTAATTGAAGCCCAAAACACTTCTGGGGCTTGGGGCTTAATTTTGAAAAATGCCTTTCCATTATATATCCAGTAACACATCCTCTACTATAGTAGGGAAACCACCTTAGGTTATCTGAGTCTCAGGTGTCTCCCAGAATCCTTGAGAGGAACACACCACTTTAGGTTGAAAAGCTTCAAAAGCTTACAAACAAAAATATGTATACTTCTTGGGGAAAAAAACGCCTATGCCCCAAACCATGACAGTCACATAAAGGGGCTGGATTGTACCTCAGTGGTGAAGTACCTCTGGGTTCAATCCTTAGTACCGTTTAAAAAAAAAAAAAAGAAAGAAAGAAAATCACATAAAGATAGGAGAATGTATAGGTCAAGTTTGAGGCATTTTATTGGTTTTAACCAAAAGATACAGCCTTTATCAACAGGGTCTTCTTGGCCCTGTGCTAAGTAGTGTTGCAAATGGAATTGGGGGGAGATGTGCCTACTCAGTTCTCTAGACACCACTACAGAATGCCTCACCTGTAAGAGTTGATTAATTACAGAAGAAAAACACTTCTCTTCCCATAAAACTTCCCTCAGAGGTCCCCAAACCACTTCTCCAAGTCCCCAAACCACTGCCCTTATCCCGCCATGATGCGCAACTGTTGCTTTTACAGGTAAGGATGCACTATGTAACATTCCATTTTCTGCTAAATAGATATGGACCCTCTTGTTGGTAGACAGAAATCTACTTCATTCTTTTTAACAGCTGTGGAATAGAATATCCCATCAGATGCACAGTATACCACAATTTGTTTAAACCACTTCATTAGATGGGAATCTTACGTGGTGCTCCATTACAAGTGCTGCCAAGAACATGAATATATGTAGTTACGTCTGTATGTGGGTGAGTACTTCTACACGGGCCTAAAGGTAAAATTATGGGGTCAAGGGCAAATTTCCATTTTAAATTTACATGGGTATTGACAAATTCTGCTCTGAAAGGATTGCAAAAATTTATCCCCTTCCACAGTAGTTTCAGAGCACCTATTTTTCTATATCTTTTGGCCAAGGTCATAGTTTCATTTAAATTTAAATTTATCTCATTTAAATTGATGCTTTTTTGGATTAGTAACATCCGGTGACCATTTTTAAATTTTACTGGCAGTTGGTTTTTCTTCTGTGAAGCTGCCCCCTTAACATTGATTTTTTTCTCTTTTTATAAAAAGGGTCCTTGGTCTCTTTCTTTGGTTGTATGGTATTTTCTCATGATAGGAACATCTGTGTGTTTTTATGCTTGTCACGATATACTGCAAATAATTTATGTCATCTGACTATATGTTTTATAACGGGACATTTTTGCTTATAGAAATTAATCTTTCTGTGATCCAACCTTCAAACCAGTTCAGCTGTAATTCATCTGCATTTTTTTTCTTTACTTTTTGGTGTATTACTTTGAATGAATAAGAAAATGCCAATGTATTTTTGGGACTCACCGCTGGTCTTCAAAACTTTATGTGATCTCGAGGAAGGTTCTGGGAGAAAAATAAAGCCAGCATTATTTGCAAAACCCAATCAAAAATTGTCTTCATACATAAATCACTACTTTATTGATAGGTTACCTGAGCTCTAGTAATTTTCTATCAAATTTACCTAAATTCCCTTTGCTCAGAGTTACTCAGGAGCAAGAAATTCACTGTCAAAATGTTAAGGAATCAGGAGTCCTATCATCATAGGACTAGCATCAAAATGCTACGTCACCAAACCTACCAACTACTAGAGACTTTCTCAGCTTCAACTACCCCGTGAGCTGGTAACTTTCAATTTTATATTCTGCGCCAGACGTCTGTCCCAAGTTTCCATCGCAGCAGACTCACCGTCTCAATCTCAGCTTACCATCCTTCCAAATTTGCTCCTGCATCCGGATTTCCTCTGGGCTATCATGGGCCTTGCCCTCCCAAGTTAGTGACCAGGACTTTACTCTACATTCCTCCTGGTTTTATCCATCACAGTCTGGGGGCTCTTGAGAAAGTGTCACCCCAGTTACCACTCTCGAATCCAAGTCCTCATCTTTCCCTCAAACTAGCATGACAGTCTCCCTCCTGCCCACTTCACTCTCCACGTGGAGCCAGAGTTCTGTCTCTAGAAGGCAAATATTCTGTTCATTGCTTAAAATCCTTCTGTGGCTGCAAAATTCAAACCCTAGGGCAACGCCTTCAGGTCCCAACTGTACATCTTGAGCCTGGTCTCCTTCCACCTTCCCCTGCTCCACCCCATTGTCCAGTCAGGCTGAATGACCAGCAGCCACTGTCTGTCCTCAGGAATGTCGGTGCAAGTCTCAGGGCCTCAGCACATACTATTCTGGCCCAGTCTGCCTTCTCCAGATTCCATCAGGGGAACTCCACTCCTCTCTGGGACACCTTTTCTCCTCTTCTTAGAAAGTTAATCTCTCTCCTTTATCCCTCCACTCTTCCTTCCATCCCTCCTGTGTCACAATGCCATCAGATCGATTGGTGTTTAGTCCCAATATTTTGTCACTCATTCCCACAGGGAGCTCCTTGCAAACAGGAATCACATGCATTATTTTTCCTTGCATTCCATGTCTCCAGCAAGGCATTCAGTAGGTACTCAATAAGCACTGATTAAAAAAAAAAAAAACCAAGGTCCTTGGGCTAAGCAAACACTGACTGCATGCAGTCCGATGTAGCAAATATGTACTTATATTTTAGGCTGGAATAATCTTTTGAGGTGTCGTTCACAAGATAACAGTTTTCATTAGCAACAGCAAACAGGGTTTAAGTAACTACAGACCCATGGTAAGATGCTCTACAAAGCAAGATTAGTTGATATGTCTTCTATTCACAGGAAAAGAGAGCATTAAGGATAAAAGAGTTTAAAATAAAGGCTGCAGAGGCTTGTTTTAAGGCAGGCTCAGGTGCAATCAAACAAGCAGTGAGCTCAAAAGGCCTGTCACCGGCAAGGAACTGCCAGTGCCCTGTTAATATCATGTTTTGATCATAACATCCTTTTTTATTCTTCCTGGTGGTATTGGGGATTGAACCCAGAGCTGCCTTATCCCTGAGCTGCATCCTCAGTCCTTTTCATTTCTTATTTTGAGACAGGATCTTGCTAAGTTGCTGAGGCTGGCCTCAAACTTGCAATCCTCCTGTCTCAGCCTCCCAAGTCGCTGGGATTATAAAACATCCTATTTACCAGATTTTCTTCTGAGCCGATAGGGTGTAGAACCTTCTCTAGAGCCACAGGATGCTTTTGTCTCTCCCTCAGGGCTGTAACAGAAGCCTGGATGATCTGTAAAGATAACAACAGGCAGAGTGAGGTGCTCTGGGCTCCTTGGAAAATAGTCACATCTTGTTTGAATAATTTATGGATTTTCTTTTCCACCTGACATATCCTACCCCCGTAACTGGCATTCACTGCATCTCAGGTTTTTTCTTACATGCAGGATTCCAAGATGCACTGACTGCCCTCCTGTTCTCTCCCCCTCTGCCTTCCATTTTTACTCCTTAGCAGAAGGAGCTGTCAATCACCAGCTTTGCCACTCTTCCCTTTAGGCCCTGTGGCAGTTGTCCCCAGTGCAGTATTCTTTTTTTCTTTTTAAAATTTGACAACAATATGCAAAACTGTGAGCAAGTTGCTTCCCTCTCTAGAGGGTTTCTTTTTTTTTAAATGTATATATGACAGCAGAATGCATTACAATTCATATTACACATATAGAACACAATTTTTCATATCTCTGGTTGTATACAAAGTATATTTACACCCATTTGTGCTTCACACATGTACTTAGGATAATAATGTCCATCACATTCCACCATCATTTCTAACCCCAGGTCCCCTCCATTCCCCTCCCACCCCTCTGCCCTATCAGAGTTCGTCTATTCTTCCCATGCTCCCCCTCCCTACCCCACTATGAATCAGCCTCCTTATATCAGAGAATACATTTGGCATTTGGTTTTTTGGGATTGGCTAACTTCACTTAGCATTATCTCTTCCAACTCCATCCGTTTACGTGCAAATGCCATGATTTTATTCTCTTTTATTGCTGAGTAATATTCTATTGTCTATAAATGACACATTTTTTTTACCATTCATCTACTGAAGGGCATCTAGGTTGGTTCCCAGTTTGGCTATTGTGAATTGTGCTGCTATATACATTGATGTGGCTATGTCCCTGTAGTAGGCTGCTTTTAAGTCCTTTGGGTATAGACCAAGGAGAAGGATAGCTGGGTCAAATGGAGGTTCCATCCCCAATTTTCCAAGGAATCTCCATACTGCTTTCCATATTGGCTGCATCAATTTGCAGTCCCACCAGAGTGTATGAATGTACCTTTTCCCCCACATCCTCGCTAACACTTTTTGTTGTTTGTATTCATAATAGCTGCCATTCTGACTGGAGTGAAATGAAATCTGAGAGTAGTTTTGATTTGCATTTCTCTAATTGCTAGCAATGATGGAAGCAGGTGGCATCACTGTACTAGACCTTAAACTATACTACAGAGCAATAGTAAAAAAAAAAAAAAAACCGACAAAATAGCATTGTATTGGCACCAAAACAGACTGGTAGACCAATGGTACAGAATAGAGGACACAGAGACTAACCCATAAAATTACAATTATATTAAACAAAGGCACCAAAAACATGCATTGGAGAAAAGATAGCCTCTTTAACAAATGGTGCTGGGAAAAACTGGAAATCCATATGCAACAAAATGAAATTAAATCCCTATCTCTCACCATGCACAAAACTCAACTCAAAATGGATCAAGGACCTAGGAATAAAACCAGAGACCCTGTGTGCCTAACAGAAGAAAAAGTAGGCCCTAATCTCCATCACGTGGGATTAGGCCCCAACTTCCTTAATAAGACTCCTTTGGTGCAAGAATTAAAATCAAGAATCAATAAATGGGATGGATTCAAACTATAAAGTTTTTTCTCAGCAAAAGAAACAATCTGTGAAGTGAATAGAGAGCCTACATCTTGGGAGCAAATCTTTACCCCTCACACATCAGATAGAGCACTAATCTCTAGGGTATATAAAGAACTCAAAAAGCTAAGCACCAAAACCACAAATAACCCAATCAATAAATGGGCCAAGGACTCCAGTGCAGTATTCTTAAAAATGTTTACAGACATTGTTCCTTTAAGCATCTGGTGAAAGATTTAGATCCAGAAAAGGAATTTTCATTGAGTTCATGTCTTTCTGCCCCTGCGAGGCAGCACACAGACTCTGGATTAAGAAACTCTGGTCTAATCCTAAAGACACGCAGCATATCCAGTGACTGAATATGGCACCTTGAAGGCCAGCACTCCGGGTATAAAGCCATAAACTGGTGTTCCTCAAATTAGAGGCAGTGCTTCCAGGAGCCCAGGTTCAGAGGACCTCAAAGGCCACATGCACATCTTCAGAGATGCAGGTAACATTAACTCAAGGGAGGTCATCTGTTCTAATGGACTGGCCTCCCCAATCATACTGCTAAGTCCAAACTCAGTAGGCCGGGGGGTGGGGTAGGGAGCAAAGAGATGCTGTTTTCTTACAAATGACACTTTATAAACTCTTCATAAGAGAGAAAATGTGATGATACAAGTAAGGAATATCTCAATTTATGTTAAGGACATAAAACTTACGAATGGCATCCATTTCAAGTATTGCTTGCTTGGCCTGAAAAAGAAAGTGTAGCTGTAATTACAAGTATTATTATTATTTTTCTTTAATCTACTAATTCTAATACAGTTCTTATCCCACCTGAATAAAGAAATTAGAAAAAGCTTTAAATGACTGTTTCTTGCAGACATTAAAACACAGATCAGGAGCTCAGGGAATTCAATGAGATATATGCCCTCATGGGCACCGTAGATGCTGCCCAACTGAGACTCCAGAGCTAGGGCTGACCCCCCAGCCCCCCGCCAATATGCAAAAATAGATGGAGAAAGGAAGAGTTGGTTTTAAGCCCGGTTGATCATCAGGAATCATTCATTGGGTAGCTGATAAAGAAACGTATACTCCTGCGACCCATAGTGGTCTACCGAATCAAAAGCCCAAGGCCCAGAGCCTGGCATCTATATAACACCAGCCCTCCCCATGCCACTGAGTGGTCCCTAGAATCACAGTCTCCCTCAGTGTCCCATTCCCAGCATGCCCCAAAGGTACAAAAACTGATGGATACTCAAGTCCCTTACATGAAGTGATAAGTATTTGCATATAACCCCCCCACACACACATCCTCCCGTATACTTTAAACCCCTTCTAGATTACTTATAATCCCTAATCCAATATAAGTGCTATGGAAATAGTTATATAATTATTCATTAGGGAATAATGAAAAGGAAAAAATGTCTAAATGTTCAGTGTAGCCGTAATTTTTTTCCTAACATTTTTTTTATTTGCATTTGGTTGGATCTGCAGATGTGGAAGCCCTGTTGTTGGTGGGTGGGGGGCTGTCCATTTTTAGTTGATTGGAATATGGCTGCTGGAGTTTGTTTGCTCTCACTGCATCTCTCCTCCCAAAGGCTGCATGGTGACCATCAGGTTTCTTGCCCTGTCTCCATGGCCTCCTTCACCTCCCATCTCTTCTGGGTGCCCCAGGCAGGGGAAAAAAGGTACAGTGTGGAGTCAAGGTGCTGAGGGTCACTGTGATCCCAGCTCAGGCACACAGCCAGGTGGTGGGTGCTGTTGTCTCTGGCTGAGCTTTCTTCACTGTCAGATGGGACTGCAGTGGGACCCACAGGTGGAGCTGCATTAACATCGGGCACAGGCACTCACCTGCCTGCTGCTGCTGCTGCCCTCCTGGGGGCCGTGTCCAGTGACCTGCTGCTCTACTTAGCCCTCCCTCTCCAACCCACCTTCTGAGGGCTAATGCTTTGGAGGTTTCTTTTTGTTATTATTATTGCCATATGTTACAGATGTTTAGGGTGTTATAAAAAGGCAAGCTGATTTTCTTAGCCAATTTGCCTAAGGATTCAAAGAAAAGTAATCAGTTTAGATGGCCTTTATAGCCTCTTTGGTATCATTTTTATTTCTCAAGAGAAGTGTATCTTAACCTATAAAACTATGATAAAATGACTCAAAATAATTTCACTCCTACTTTCTGAAATCTTTGATATTATAAAAATGTTTAGGCTAAATGGTAATCATATTTAGTTTAAGAAAGTGAGGGAAGAGAGAGAGAGGCCTCAACACAGTCACCTTAGCTTTGAGGAAACAAAATACTTAGATTTTTGTTATGTTGATATTTCTATTTTAAATTCAGAATTTGAGATTACCAGTTGGAATTAAATTTCAAATACAAGTGATAGCTCAATTTCTGGAAAGCATGTTTCTAGAACCATGTTAATATATGAAATGCAAAATTATTAATTTTTAAATTAATAATTAATCATTATTAATTAATTTGGACAAGAGTTCAGTCTATATAACATCTAGATGAATGAGAATAGGGCTACTTCCAGGGAATTCCCTGTTATCTGTAATCCTGAACAAAGTATCTGTCCTCCAACCTTGACATTTAATTTCAAAAAAAGTACTATTCCCAGGGTTTCCACTAGGTGTCAGTCAAGGACCATCGTGGAATTAAAGGAGTAGGTGGAGGCTGGGAGGAGTTAAACTAATGAATCTCCAACAGCTGTGTTGACACTTAGATCAGTGATACATTTTTACCTAAAATGCCCCATTATACATTTATTTTATTTTGTAGAAATACATTTTGAAAGCTTTAAGAAAACAATCTAAGAAATAGTCTTGATGAAAGATGTAGCTTTCATCAAAAAGTTCAACGTAATCCTTTTATTTATATTATAACATTACAGTGGATTAAGTATATGAAATAAGTGTATTTTTATCACCCGTGGGAACAATATGGTTAAGAAGTTCCTTGCAGGCAGACAGACCTTGGTTTGAGTCTGAGTTTAGTCATGTACTAGTGGTAAAACTTGCACAACTTAATGTCTCTGAACCTCTGTTTTTAATGCTCTTGAATTAGACTTATTTCATAAGGTGTTTTGCTGAGGGTGAAAGAAGATACAGTACAGCACAGTGTATATGTGATCAATGAGTTGTAACTTGAAAAAATTTAGATTCTAAAAGGATCAACAACTTAGGTGAAAAATACAATTCTACTATGGCTATGTCAACTGTTCACACATACAGGCAAAGGGCCAAGAGCACACACACACACACACACACACAGGTGTAGGAGAAAGGGGACAGGTATGCAGGCTAGTCTGGTTTTGTAATGGTCTATAATTGCCTTTCAGAATCTTCTTAAGCAACTTGGATTTTCCCAGGAGACTTGTAATCAACAGGTGGGGCATGGGACACATGCTGCCATTACTCAGAGGGCCTCCAGGGCACCAGGCCAGCAACCCCAGGACCAGCCGTGAAGCGAATGCAGTCACCTCTCTGCCCGAGCTCCCCTGCATCTCATAATCCCCAGATGAAATGAAACTCCCACTTGAGTCCACGTACACACCTTTGCATGTTCATTTCCTGAGTAATTGGGGCTGGCGGCTCCTGAGGACTAACTTCAAAAGCTTTTCAAAATACACAGAGGGCAAAACAGACTCTCTTCTCAGAGCTCAGTCCTCCTGATCTCCCACCCAGGTCCACTCCCATGATTATGGTCCCACTCTCTGCCCCTCCTCCCTCCCACTGTGGACCATTCCAGCATCTACCTGGCTCACCGGTAATGACACTCACCCCTGCACCATAGTCCCTTGGCTACTTTATCTCTAGAAGTTCAGGAAAGATGTTTCCAACCCTTCCCAAGACTAGCTCCTATTGCTGCGCTGATGGGCCTATTGTTCCCACCTTCCCAGGTCTCACTCCAACAAACATCCTTCTCCTGGCCTGACTATCTCCTGTTTCCCTTCCTACCCCCTGCAGCCCTCTTACCCACATGATATCTTTGTGTGTATGTGTGTGTATGTGTGTGTGTGGGGGGTACTGGGGGTTGAACCCAGGTGCATTCTACCACTGAGCTACATCCCAGCCCTTTTTGTTTTCAGACAAGGTCTTCCTACCTGGTGAGGCTGGCCTCAAACTTGTGGTCCTCCTGCCTTAGCCTCCTGTGCCATTGCATCTTACTTGGCTTTGGTTTTTCCCCAGCCTACCAGCTTTTTCCTTTTCTGAACTTTGTGAAATGAAGAAGTGACACCTGGTCTGTTTCTCATTTCGCCCTTGCTCTTTGACCCACTCAGACCCTTTTCTTCTTAGCTGCCAACCCTAAAAATCTGTCTTTCCATTTGAATTGTTTGACCTTTGCAAGACTGTTCTCTGTTCCCTGTCTGTGAGATTCACCTTCCTTTGCTGGCACAATGCCCTTCCCTGCTTCTCTTATGGCCCCTTTTTCTTTTTCTGTGCTTCAGATCCGCCTCCCCTTTTAGACCACTCACTGGGATTCCCAAGGGGCCTTCTTTCCTCTACACACTTTTGTGAACCATCCTGTCAAATCTTACGGCTTCCATTTCTGTCTCTCCTAACCCTCAGCTCCCAGAACCTGAATTTCTACCTGCAAGGGTCCTGCCTCCCCTGCTCATCGACCCCCATCGAACCAGTTCTCCCCGCCTCCCAGCTTGCTGGAGACTCCAGCGCCATGCTCTGGGTGCAGGTCACGACTGACACTGAATCTCAGTGGGCCAACGCCCGTTCCTCTGCCTCACAAGCTGTCTCACCTCTCTCCCTCTGTGGCCACCACAGCCACTGCTCCTCATCTCACCACGCAGACTCCATGGTGCATGGTCCAAAGTCCTCCCTCAGCCCACTGAGCCTTCCAGCCTCACCTCCTACCCTGACCCCTGAGAGCTTGGCCCTCCCGGGTGGGCAGCGCCTCTGGGCCCTGAGCACAGTGCCCTGTTCTCTCCTGCTTGTTTACACGTTCTTTCAGCCTGGTTTCCCTTTTCCTTTCCCTTCACTTATAAAAACATTCCTCATCCTTCAAGAATGAAGTAAAGGCACTTTCCTTCCTCTCCCAACTCAAATAGACACTTGTCCTTCCGTGACACCTGGCTTACAGTGCCATTATTTCACCATGTTGAGCAAACAGGTCAGGGGTTACAGGGCCAGCTGCCCCTACTCTGAGTACACTCACTGCCACACCTGGGGCTCGTTTCTCTGGGTGCTGTTCCCTTAGCACCTAGGTGGTCTTTCCTGTGTGGCCGGTTCTTAGTGCCCCTCTGAGTATTTCTCATACTCTATTTTCTTTTGCTTTTTTTTTGGTACTGGGGGTTGAACTCAGGGGCACTCAACCACTAAGCCACATCCCCAGCCCTATTTTGTATTTTATTTAGAGACAGGGTCTCATTGAGTTGCTTAGCGCCTTGCTTTTGCTGAGGCTGGCTTTGAACTTGTGATCCTCCTGCCTCAGTCTCCCGAGCCTCTGGGATTACAGGCGTGCGCCACCACGCTCGACTTCGTACTCTATTTTCTGTTAGTCCTCTGGAACTTTCCTTACAGTCTTTCCCCTCACTTCTTTCAATCTCCCAAGGTGGGGAACACCTCAAATAGAGCCCACTATGAGCGAATCTCTGCAGCATTGGGTGGTGGAATCAGTCCTTACAGACTTGACATCTCAGATGCTCTTTTTCAACTGAGCCTCGCTTCCTGTCTGGCTGCCCTGCTAGGACCTGACCCCTTTCTCGGCCACTGTCTGCTGACTGCATCTGTCGTCTTACCTTAGCTGGAATCTTTGCCGCATGGTTCTCCAGGATCAGTCTCTTCAGGTGCAGAACCCAGAGCCGCTTGTCTTGCTGGGACTTAGCCTACGGGGCAGATGGAAGGGTCAGATGTTGGACAGTTGGATAGATGTTGGACTCCTTTGAGATGGGAAGCACTCTGTGTGGTCAGGAAAACCTGGAAAGGCCCTGGCACCCAGCACTCCTCGTCCCCGAGAGGGGCCCAGGGAAGAGGAGAGGCCCTCTTTACCTGAACAGTGTGCTGCAGCTTGGGGTTCTTGTAGTGGAAGACGCTGAAGCTGAGTGGCTCCTTGGGGATCACCTCCACGAGCATGAGGTTGCCACACTGGAGCAGAGAGAGCACGGAGGTGAGGCCCACTCTGGGGACAGGGAACAAGCAGCCCCCGGCCCTTGCCCCCTGTGTGACTGGTGTTCACACCTACCAGGATGTGAGCTTTGTATGTAAACGTGTCATCCCTCTTCTTGGTGATGAGAAGCAGCTTGTCAAGGAGGAAGAGCGTCCGCTCATTCTTGGCCCGCTGGAGACGGAAGGTTCCCTCGAGCACCAGTTCCCCATAGCTGGTGAGGTCTGGCCCCTTCCAGTTTGTGAGCAAACTCTGTATCTCCTGGAAAAGGGGAGGCCCCGTGGATTCAACAGGAGGCAAAGGCTCTGTGGCCCATCCACTGAGCCTCAGGAATGGTGACTAATGATCTATGACATAAATCTGCATTTCTGGGTGGTACCACTCAAGGGTTAACAAAAATGAGTCAAGCTGTAAGTTGCTGAGTTGCCAATTACTTATTTCTATTCCTTAATAATTCCTATGCTGTGGGTGGCAACAGCAGCTACATCTTTCAAAAGCTTGGGAACAGGACCACCAGTTGGGACTTCTTGGTGGGCATCCTTTCTCTGACCTTCTGTTCTCCAGAAGAAAAAAATCTATAGAGAGGTTGACTTGAAATCTTTCTTCGAAAAACTGAAGTCCATACCATGTAGACGTTACACAAAATTAAATTGTGTGCACGATCATGAGACATATTTTCTCAGAAGCTTCCTGTTTTTAATTCACTGATTTCGGGAAAGGAAATGAACATTTCTCTGCTGATATGTTTTAGTGTTTTTAGTGGAACTTGGTAAATATAGAAATGGGTAGCACGATTGACATTTCTTTAGGATTTGTTGTACATTAATATTGCTTAAGGAAGATGATGTCATTATTTTGAAAAATGAAAATGTTCACAAGTACCACTTAATTAAGGAAGCCACAAGATAATAAAAGACTTCATTGGTTGAAAACAGAAAGCTCTGTGGTACAGTGCTTGCCTAGCATGTGCAAAGTCCTGGGTTTGATAACCCATGCCATAGGCAAAAGGAAGGAAGGAAAGAAAGAAGGAAGGAAGGAACTAGAAATGGTGATAAGTTTGACCAGAATCTAATTTAGCACTGTCTTCAGAATGCCAACAAAGGTTTGCCTGATGCCTGCAATACACTTGAATGACTAAGCATTAAACTTTCTGCTACTACTGCAAAAAACAGATATGGATGAAAGAATAGGATGTTGCCCCCCTCTGATTTTTTACTCTATGGCATGATATCATATACTCTCCTGCCCACCTGCCTAGATTTTTTTCTGTCTTATGAGCCAAATGATGCATTGTGTCCCTGCATAGTGCGGAGTCAACTCTGGGCTTTTTTGTTTTACTTTAGGGACACCCAAGAAGTTAGAACTGGATTTTGAGCCTGTATGTTTGGTTTTGTTTTTAAATAGCTTTTAAAGAGGGCTATTTTTTTGAGATTTCTAGGATAATTGGCCCAGCATCTATTAAAAATTCCTGAGTGTTTTAGGGATCAAAATGTTGGTGCTAGATGGGACCTTAGCAAACTTCTCATTTGACTGTCTCATTTTAACGATGAGGAAACTAAAACGATGTGCTTGAGAACCATCTCATGGTTTTGCAGGAATGAGTGAGAAAGAATAGAAGCTTAAAAGGTCTAGGTACTTTGCTTTTAACAAAAATTACTAATTTATAATTTTATTACTTAACATAAGATAAGGCCTTGGGAGATGAAAGTTTTTAGCTTGGGTCTTCAAAGGGCTATAAGCAAGTTATTAGCTAAATTACATAACAACTTTGTCTTAAATAGCTACTCTAAACAATGGTCATTATTGTTGGTGCCCTGATCTTTCTTCAGGGAGAATTATGATGAGGACCATAAATGAAGTATGATATTTGTGCAATCTTAATATTGGATTTGATTTTGGAAATGATACATATCTGTGTCCCTGCAGCCCTGCTGGGTACTGACACCTTGCTGTGGGCTCACCTGTAACCGGACTGCATGTTCATGTTTCCGCTTCATGTCATTGATGTGCCAGGCCACGCGCTGCATAGTGTCTATAGCATCAAGCACCACATCGTAGCCATCTGTGTCCTTGTCAAGGTGGTTTTCTATTTCCTTTAAAAAAACACACACACAAAAATAACTACTTGTTTTCCATTTTTTGCATATAGCAAGTAATGAATAACATCTTGTAACTAGTTTCTTATATTTTATTTGTGCTTATTTATTTATTTGCCTACTACTATCATTCCTTAAGATTTTGAGAAACTTACCAGGAATACCTGCCACAAAATGATAAGATGGAAATAAAAAATAGGTCTAAAAATAATACAAGAATATTAGAATTCCAGGAAAGGCTATAACATACAGTAAGTCTCAAAGAGATATGACAGTTATAATAGATATGAGAATTGATCTTATAGCTGAGAGTTCTGAGCTTCTTGGTAACCAAGGTAATATCGCTCTCAGTGATACAGTTCTCACTCTTACAAGATCAAAATACATATCTTTTTTTTTTTCTTTTATAGAGGAAACAAAATTTCTCACAAAGACCTCAAAGTGTCACAGACTCAAAAATGTAGTAGACATTATCTTAAAAAAAAAAAAAACAACCAAACAAAAAAAAAAAACCTCCATAGGGGCCAGAAGGTACAACTCAGTGGTAGAACAGGTGTTTAACATTCAGAAGGCCCTAGGTGAAGATCCCTGGCACCAAAACCAAACATGCAAATAGAAACCTCTACAGCAAGCACATTTTCATGCAGACATGAGGTTTTAGAACCTCAATGAGGTTCACTGAAGACAGTCTTTTGGAGTGTCAAGGAAGTTCACAGGTATCATGCACTAACTTGTCTGATGGTTTCAGCAGGTTATGTTAGCACCCATATTAGCATGGAGTTCCACAGCCCCAGGGAAGGGAGAGAGGGATACAACCTCTGTTCTAATTCCTTTTCTTTTCTTTCTTTTTTCATTCATTCATTCATTTATTGGTGTGGTACTGGGAAGTGAAAGCAGGAACATTCTGCTTCTGAGCTAGCTATATCCCTAGGAATTTTTAAAATTTTCATGTTGAGGCAAGGTCTTGCTAAATTTCCCAAGCTATGCCAAGTACTGAAGAAAAAAAAATGTTCAGACTAACCTGGAAATTGCAACCCTTCTGCCTCAGACTCCCCAGTAGCTAGGACTATAGGCATGCACAGCACTTTGCCCTGCAACCTCTGTTCTAATTCTTTAGAGGATATTAGACTCCTGTACCTGGATCCCTTAGGAGTCAAAGACTATTCTTTTTATCTCCTCCATAATACCTAACAGACAGGTGGTCAATAGATGTTTTTCTTTTCTTCTGGTGCTGGGGATGGAACCCAGGACCTCCATCATGCTAGGCAAGTATTCTATCACTGAGCTACACTCTCAGCTCCAATAAATGCTTATTAAGGTAAAACTATATTTTCTTAAAAACAACAATAACTCTAATCTCTCTATGTATATATGTAAATAAATTGCATCTATATAGAATATGAACAGACTTCTTTTCCTTATTATTATTCCTTAAACAATATGTTGTAATAACTGTTTATAAAGTGTTTATACTGCTTTAGGTATTATAAATTATCTAGAGATGATTTAAAGTATAGGGGAGGTTACACATGCATTGTATAATACACAAGCCTACATAATTTTATATAAGGGACTTGAGCACCTGTGGCTTTGGTATCCTTGAAATCAATCCCCTGCAGATACCAAGAGACAATCACATCTACAACAGTAAGAAACTGTGCCTTAGATCATTTCTATGACATTTATTGTGCAAAATCAGTTAAAAGTGGCAGAGGCTGAATCTTATGGCATAATTTCTGCAAATTAATTCCCACTATTTTACAGTGACACTTTGTAAATATTAGTTTACTTTTACTGGGTATGCAAATTTTTCATGTAGTTAAAAACTGGAAAGGAATTTACATTTTTATCCCCATACTCAGACTCAGGGGTTTGAAGTTCCTATGAAACCATACTGCTAAGCTAGTAAGTCCAGGTAAGCTCCAGATTAGTAGCAAACTAAGAAATATTAATTTCTTCTTGTAGTTCGAGAGGCAATCCTGCCCAACAATGATCAGGCTGAGAGGAGCAGAGGATCCTGCTCTGAGGATATTCATGGTTCCCTGTACAGCTTGACGATGTGAGTGACACAAGGAACATCTAAGCCACCTATAGAAGCAACACATCTCGATGCCGACCTGGAGCTAGTGTGGATTTATCCACTCACTGTTCTTCCCTTTTCTTTATTATTAGCCCAAGACAGAGAGTGAGGCTGTTCTCCTCACCAGTGCACTTTCTCTAAGGATCCTGACTTGCCATCTCTCAGGCTGTTCTGAGAACTTCACTTTCTTTTGCTGGTTGGTCACCTTCCTGTCTAGAAGACCACAGTAAGTCTTAGCTGGGATATTAACAGAGTTCAGCAGAAGTCTGTCCTGGGATAAGTATTATTTATTTAAGAATTATTTGGATGCTGATTTAGCAAACTTACTCCACTAAATCTAAAATGTCATTAGGACCAATTTAAAAATTAAATATCTCCAATGTGGATAAATGAGGCAAACAGACAAAGCGAAGAAATTTCTGGTAATGTTGGACTGAAAAAGTTCTCTGGATTAAAATCCCTTTAAGGGAAGATATTTAATATATTGTGAAAGTAATAAACTGCAAACACTGGCTTATTTTTATCGAGTGCCTTGAGCCTCGGGAAGGTGGGCACCTTCTAGGCTTCGGAGGCAGGCTGCTTGTCCCAGAGCCCTACCCCTGACCTTCCTGCTCTACTTTTTGCCCGTGGTGCAGAGATAAGCATTCCACATCTAGAATGCAAATTCCTTCAATAAAACTTTTTTTCCCATTTTTATCAGTCTCCTTAGAGGCTAAGAAATGAGAATTTGAGAGCTGTGTCTATCTTTGATCGAAAGACTCTTTGAATTTTATAAAAGTAATGGAAAACACTATAAAAGGGAAGATATCTGGAAGTGGAGCCTCTCCCCCCCAGGGGACCCCCCCCCTCCTCCACTTTCTGCCCCCCCCCCCAGCCCCTCCTCTTTGCTCTCATAAAGGAACCAATCTATGACAAATAGCTTTCTCTCTCAACTTCCTACTGAATTGGGACTCATGGAAATAAAATAAAACAGGAAAAAACCTGTTTTCCATTTGGATGATAGCTCCCTGTCTGGACTGTCACAGCCCAGTGCAAGGCACTCGTAAGCCCTGTCACCATCCGAGCTGAGATTAATCTTTTGATTTGGCCGTGGTCAGCGGAGCTGCATGCCTAGAATATAAATATCTCTAATTCCTCAAAGCAGATTAGCCAGTTGTAAAGCATGAGAGTGGAAAATGATTCCATATGTCCACAGCCTTTTCTGGTATTTTCCCCCAAACTTAATGTATACACACAAGATCTCCATCCCGTTGGAAAGTGCTCAAGCGCAAGCAGAGACTCACATGCAAAAGGAGATGATACTTGAGAATCCGCTGAACTGGTTTCAGGAGATAGGACCCCAGAGGCAGCGAGTGTTTCAGAGTTTCCTGGCGTTCCCGGAAGAACTTGGCCAGCATCTTGTTCCTCATGCACTCGGTTAGCACGGCCACTGACCTGCAAGAGGAACAATTGTTTTTTTATGTCAGTGTGATGCAGGGCAGGGGTAGCTGAGTTTTGATGCAGCACCATGGGCTCAAGGCTTCTAGTAGCAAGGTCCTTCCTTCTAGAAGACCAGGTGCATGCCAGGGCATGTGGCTTGGCAAAAGGAATCTGAGCTGGATTTTAGGCCCTAGGTGTGCCCTACCTAGTATCTTCAAGCAGTGCTCACACTGCAGATCTCACACAGTTTCACAAGTCAATTTTAAGGTACTTTGTACTAAGAATAGTTCCCTCTTCCCAGTAGATCCTTGCCAGTAAATGCCTACCAGGGCATTTGTCAACTCTGATGGTTAGCTCTGTATACTGCAAAGCTGTATGGCTTTATGTGGTGGCTCTTCTGGGAGACCTTTCCCCACAGTTAACTTCCATTTGAGAATCCTGGAACAGATAGATCCCCTTTCCACCTCCAAGTGATTCTCCTCCTTCTAGACGGTCTCAGTCCTCAGAGAGAGTGCCTCACTGAAGGGTATTAGAAAAGTGGGTGGGAGTTCTTTCTTAGCCCAGATCCCAGAAAGTAACTAAGGATGGTGCTAAAACAGCTTCCAGGAACAGGAGAAAGAGTCCTGGCACCTCACAACTAAAGCATGCTGAGGGGCTTGGGTGGTCACACACACACACACTAACATCTATGGTCTCAGAACTCAGAAGGAAGCAGGAGGAAAAATTTCATCCCTTTTATTCCCCAAGTCACGAACATGTTTTCAGGATTAATTGAGACAATCAGAGTCAAAAAACAAAATAAGACTCCTTGGAAAGCAGTTCAATGCAAGTCTCATAATTAAGTTGTTGGACTCTCCTTTGTACCCATCTGGTTTCAGAATATCGGTTCAAACTGATTTATAAATTTGAGTCCAAATCTCAAAACTCCCCATCAGATGACCTGGGACCTTTTCTCAGTTTTTTTTTTTTTTTTCCCCCTCAGAACCCGCTGCCTGGTAGCTCCTTAGCTGCCTGATAGCTTGAGCAGCTGCTGGAGAGTGACTTGTGTCACAGACTGGGTGCATGCAGGGCACCAGGTACCCAGAAGTCCTCATTACAGGACAGGCATCTGAGGACACTGACCTGGTCCTGTTTGTGCTCCTCCCTGGGGTAAGGAAGGAGGGGCTTGTGCCTCTTCACAGTGAAATCACAGGGCACCACTGGCAGGAAGAAAGAGGACACTGGTCAGTGTGCCAGGCCACTTAAATGTCACCAGATTGGATCCAAGGGGGAAAGAAAAATTTGTCAGATGGGCCACAACACCTGGCACTCTTGGCTTGTTAAGACAGGGGAAAGGGAACCTCAGGCCTCAGACCAAACTGACTGGACGAGGGACAAGAACTATTTCTCTGTGAATATGAAAACCCTGCAATTGGGAAAGAAGCAGAGATGGCTTCCTCATCCAGAACGCCTTGCAAGCACCGCTCTGCCAACTCAGGTTTCAAGTCAGACTTGAAATTAAAACAAAACAAAACAAAAACCAAACAAAGAAACCCACCCCACTTTCTCTAGTAAACTGTTCTTAACTACCCCTCACTGAGACTTATCACTTCTTGAACTTTGACTACACATTACTGAGTGTGTGTGGTACTGGGGATTAAACAGAAGTGTTCCATCGCTGAGCCACATCCTCAGCCCTTTTTATTTTTCATTTTGAGGCAGGGTCTTGCTAAGCTGGTTAGGGCCTTACTAAGTTGCTAAGGCTGGCCTTGAACTTGCAATCCTCCTGACTTGGCCTTCTGAACAGCTGGGATATTCCAGGCAGGTACCTGGAATTTAGCCTGGCTAAAATCACCCTATTTAATTTACACTTATTATTTGATCTTCCATAACATGCTATTCCACTATTGCATTTAGTTAAGTTCTACCCTCAAAAGAATATAAACTAGGCCAGGTGCAGTGGCACATGCCTGGAATCCCAGTGGCTCAGGCGGCTGAGGCAGGAGAATCACGAGTTCAAAGTCAGTCTCAGCAAAAGCTTAGAAGCAACTCAGTGAGACCCTATCTCTAAATAAAATACAAAAATGGGGCTGGGGATGTGGCTTAGTGATTGAGTGCCCCTGAAAGACATTGGTTCTTTATTTCTTGTGGATCTCCACTAGGTTTGGAACTGTGCTCCATGAATGACAGGCTCCTTCCGAAACTCATGGCCTCATGCACACAAGGCAAGGGCTCCATGAGCGATACCACCATCCCTGAATGGCAGGCTCTTGAAAATGTTCTTACAACCATTCACAATAGCCAAACTATGGAACCAGCCTTGGTGACCATCAACAGATGAATGGCTGAAGAAAATGTGGTATAGATACACAAGGGAGTTTTAATCAGCCATAAAGAAAAATGAAATTATATAATTTGCAGGAAAAATGAGACTATTATGTTGAGCAAAATAAGCCAAACTCAGAAGGTCAAGGGTTGTATGTTTTTCTATCGTAAGTGAAAGGTACAAAGGAAAAAGGAAATGAAAGGGTGGGAGATTTCATGAAAATCAAAGGGAGATCAGTAGAATAGAGGAAAGGGACCAGGGGGTGGGAGGAGGGGAGGGAAGGGGGAAATACTGGGAATGATATTGGCCAAATTATATTGTTATATTGTGTGCATGTATAAATATATAATCAACCCCACCATCATGTATAGTTAAAATGTAACAATAAGAAATGTGGAAAAATAATGTTCATGCAAAAGGGATTTTGCCTTTCCCCAGACTCTGAAGCAACCCAACATGTGAAAAGGCCGCCTTTATTTTGTACTTTCCTTTTTTAGTAAATCTTCTGAATTTGCAATCTGGGAAGGTCCTATTACAGATTCTGATCATCGAGTCCAGAACTTTGTTGATTATTCAGTTTGAAGGCTTTTCCCTCAGGAAGAAGTTTGTGGAGAAGCCGAGGGCTGAGTCTGTGATTTCTCTGCATAAGGGTGTGGTGTAAACTGGTTTTTGGCTGAAGGACCCTGGAATTTTGCTGGAGCACCCTACAGTTTCCTGATTTTCAGCATCGAGGTGGAAACAAATAGTATAGGAGAGAAAATTGCTTGAGTAAAACTGTGAAGCAGGGGTGTGTCTATAGATAGGGATATGTGATAAATGCTCCAATATGCATGCAGGATGCTTTCCTTTCTTTCTTTTTATGGAAAATTTGGATAAAGCATGGTTGGCCACCAACCAATAAATCCCCGCAACACAATATCCTGACAAATATTTAGAAAAGGACAGTAAGATCCTCTAATAGGAAGTATTTTATCATCAGTAAATCTGAGGTTTGGCTTCATGGGACTATTCCATGGGGTTTTTCTTTTAACAAGACCTGCTTTCTGGATCTATTTCTAAGCAGGGCAAGAATTATTTTTCCCTTCCCACATGCTGGCTTCTCTTCCACATGGATCCTGCCACCAGCTGTATCCTTGGGGACTCTTCTAAGACCACTCACGGAGTGTGTAAAATCTCCCCAGTTCTCGTCCTGGCTGTCCTTAGGATAACTCAAGACTGCTAATCATGTGGTTAAAAAAAATAGTAAGAAGGCACGGGGGATCAACACGAGGTCTGAGAGTGGAGGAACCTGGGCCCAAACACAGGCTGGACCATTCATCAGCTATGTGATTGGTCCCTGAAACAATTTGCCTATCAGCCTCAGCTTCTTCATTCATAAAATGGGGATGGGGATGGGGCAAAGGTGGTGATGACCTTGACTTTGCAGACAGCCTATCAGGTGCCAAGCTCTGGGGCCTTGCTTTAATCCCCCAATCTCTCTGAATGGCTGTGGAGGTGGAGTTCAACATGTTGTATTTATAGCATTTAACACAGTGCTTAGGAATCAAAGTGTGACCGGTAAATGTCTTTTGGAGAATCAAATGCCTACAGTTGCGGCCCATTATATTGGGCTCCTGGGCTTTTATTGATTGATTAATATATTGCCCAGACTGCTCCCTAATTGCCCTGCCTTTCTTGTGTAAGCAAAACTGAGCTAACAACCCAGGGGAGACCACGGGCCCCCTTTTCTCCTGTTGGCTTCTCACAATCTGTCCTTTTTCTGAACTCCATAAAAACTCGTGTAGTTCATAAAACTTACAGAGCAAAAACAGAACACATTTTCTCCCCAGCTGGATTACATAAATGCATTAGCAGTGCTTCCCAATCGTAACGACATGGCACAGAGAAAAAGGTTGACAGACGAGGCCAACAGCCTGCTTTCCTTTGGAGATACCTAGTAATCTTTTTGGTCTCTTTCCATGTCTTTCTCATTTTTTTCCCCTGCACTGTCTCTGCTTGGAGCCCCAAAGCCCAAAGGGATCAGTAGATATCTGGGATCCCCTAGTCTGTTCTCTGCGTGTTCTGTGTTTGCTCACGGATTTAGCACAAGGCCAGCTAGACAACACCTGAGAACTCCACATGTTGGATATGTTGACTTGAAACATTATGAAAGTGATCCCAAGTGATCCACTCCTTCCTGATCCATACCTTGGGTAGTTGGTGCAATACTGGGTGTAAATGTGGAACTCTTCACTCTGCAAGGAAACGAAAGACTTTTAGAGGCAAAAAAGCACAGACATCAACATTCATTTAAAAACAAGAAAAGAAACAGCATTTGGGCCTTTAAATTTCTTTCTGTAATCACACTGGCCAGTCTCTGGAGCCCTTGTGGGATCGTCTGTGCCCACTGTTATATACCTAGAACCTGCACACACTCTGACTAATTTGGGTCTTCTAAACACCTGGTTCCAGATACTCTGAAGACAAACAGGAAGAGGACGAAAACACAGTTTCTGCCCTAAAGTGCTCCTGGTTCTCTGGTGGATGCAACAGGGTGAGAGGGAAATATAAGTGGGTAATGTAAACATCACATAGGAACAACATGGTGGGAGTACATGCAGGAGACAAGAAAGCTGGTATGGGGCTGGGGATGTGGCTTAGTGGTAAAGCACTCACCTAGCATACGTGAGGCCCCGAGTTCAATCCCCAGCATTGCCAAAAAAACAAAATAAAAAATAAAATAATCCAGGTGCAGTGCAGCAGTGCAGTGGCACATACCTGTAAATCCCAGCAGCTCGGGGGACTGAGGCAGAAGAATCATGAGTTAAAAGCCAGCCTCAGTAACCTAGGGAGGCCCTAAGCAACTCAGCAAGACCCTGTCTCTAAACAGAATATTAAAAAGGGCTGGGATATGGCTCAGTGGTTAAGTGCCCCTCGGTTCAATCCCTGGAAACTTCCACAAAAAAAAAAAAAAAGCAGCTAAGCAGCTGCTGGGCACTTTCAAGGCCTGTGCCTTCTGCTGTCCCTGCCCACTCCTGTTCCCACTCCTCTCGCTGCAGAGCCACTGTGCCTCCCTTATTCAGAGTCCGGGCCTTATTTCCTCTAAGGAGCCTTCTGTGAGCTCTTGGGCTGGGCCAACAGCTCCTACTTTGGGCTTCCAGCACATCCAGTACTGGCCTCCCTGGTAGCACCAACTAAACGAGAGTGACATTTTCTGTTTGTCCATCTCCCACATTAAGCTGAGAATTCCTTTAGGGTAGAGGACACACTGTGCACATTTGGCTCACAATGTTTGTCAAACTACTGCATTCCCTTCTTCCCTACTAAGCCAAAGTTTATTTGAGAGCAGGACCAAGCCTACTGATCAGCACACATTCAGCATGGCAGCAATGCCCAAGTGCAGTTCATGTCTGGCTATCAAATGTGTGGGTCCTGCCTCCTGCCGCGAACATACCCCCATTCCCTAAAACCATTTCATTCCCTTGGCTACCTCAGTCTTGCAGATGTCCCAGTCATATATATCTGAAATTGGGAAATGTTAAATATTTGCTCATTAAAGGTTAATTCTTTAAAAAGGTAGAATCTGACTTCCATGCAAATATAAAATGAACACTGTCAGGTATTTTAGTTAACCTATTAGGGAGGATTGTTCTAAGACATTTCAGTTGGATCAAAAGATAAATAAAAGTATAACAGTTAGGTCAATGATGAATGCTGAAGTGAATTTACACATAGATACAAAACTGGCTTTTTCTATGGGGATGGGTGGATAATGAACTCGAATGTTCTTGCCTGGGACAGAATTCATTTGCTTTCTGTGGCCAAGAACCATTTGCACAGCGATCAGTTATCTAAAACTGATGGGAGTTGTAAAATACTTCAAAGATGATGAAAGGTGCAGAACCCTGTTGAATTATGTAATTTGGAAGAATAAACTAGATGACCATAGATTTCCTACATCCCCAGTCTTTTTGGTGGATCCCTAGGCTGACGAGGAGGAGAGCTGTCTATGTGGGCAGGTGCAGTACAGAAGCCAGGCTTTTATACTAGTGCCTGTTCAGACTGCCATTCAGAATAGATGATTCAAGCCAAAAAAACCAAACAAACAAAAAAACCAAAAAACAAAAACCAAAAAAACATCTAGCTCTTAAAAAGTCTCTACTGAATTCTATTTGAAAAAAGTCATTGGATACTTTGGGTGGCACGTCGCATTTCACTCTTTTCTGATTTCATAAAACTTTTGACTTAAGTTCTTAAAACTATTTTATGCTGCACTGACATGTGATTCTAAATTGAGTTTTCTTGACTTAAAAAAAATTTTTTGGTACTGTGGATTGAACCCAGGGGCACTAAACCACTGAGCTACATCCTTTTTTAAAATTTGAGACAGGGTCTTGCTGAGTTGCTTAGAGCCTTACTAAGTTACTGAGGCTGACTTGGAACTTGAAATCCTCCTGCCTCAGCCTCCTGAGCTGCTGGGAATTATAGGTGCGCGCCACTGCACCTGGCTTTTCTTGATTTTAATGCTCTGAATATTCTTTTTTTCCCCCATTCAAAAAGAATCCTTAGAATCTTTCTTGTTAAACTCAACTGGGATTAGGTTAAACATTTCATATTATTATAATGGACAGTTTTAAGCATATATACAAATAGAAAGGATAAAATGGTGAATCCCAGTGTTCACCATCCAACCTCCGTAATCATTACATCCCACCTGGTCCCCTGCGTCCCCATCACTCTGAAGCAAATTCTAGGCCCTCATTTCATTTGGGTTTGAGTATGCACCTTCAAAACAAGCTCCTCAACCAAGTGGCATCACCACAGTGCCACTATCACATGTAAATGATTCAGTCTGGTTGAAGGAACCAGATTGTCCTGAATAGTCAGTCTCAGTACTGCTGGTGACAGTCCCATGGTACACACCCTGTCTGCTGACTCTGTGTGGATCAGTAGAGCTTGCTCAGATTTAGGTTTCAAAATTTGGCAACATCCACCATAGATTATACTGCACTTCCGTCAGGAGGCACCCGATGTCTGGCTTTTCTTTCTTTCTTTCTTTTTTTTTTAATACTAGGGATTGAATCAGGGGGTGCTTCACCATGGAGATACATTCCCAGCTCTTTTATTTTTGAGTTTGAAACAGGGTCTTGCTAAGTTGCTTAGGGCCTTGCTGTCCTTTTTGTGATGCTCACAGTTGGCAATTACCACCAAGATCTATTACTGTATTAGGGTTACAAAAGATGATATTTCTAATTCTGTTGTTCCTTCTTCATTTATCAGTCAGAATCTTTCTGAAAAAGGAACTTTCTCCTATGAACTGTTGGTTTACTGTGTAGTTTGTGCAGGGTAAATTCTCTTTCTCTTGATTTTCTAAATAATGTATGATTCTCTGCCATCCAGCAAAGGTGACCAGTTTTTTTTTTTAATACCACTGTAAATTCATAAACATTTAATGAGTTTTGACCATTTTCCATTGTCTTTGCCTGACACTCCAACAATCCCATCTTTTGTTGACAGAGCCTCTTTTGAACATTGTTCTTTGAGCACTCCTATTCTCTTCCATAGCTTCTGTGTTTCCTGGTGGGACAAGATGCCCGGACCATTATTATCATGGAAAGTCTTGTGTATTGTCTACCAAACACTCAGGCTCCATTGAGCCCTGATCCTTGGGTGGCAAATAGCATTTGAAGACCACAATTTGGGTTTTAGGGATGCTATTGCTACCGAGTTAGTCATTAGGGCTTTTCAGTGGACAGGTAAAAAATATGATGTTTTTTTAAAGGACAAAATACATCCTTAGTTCATACTGGTACAGGTTGAGTATCTGTAATCTGAAAACTCAAAATACTCCCAAATCTGAAACTTTCTGAGACTCATCATGATACCCCAGGTGGATAATTCCACACTTATGGCAGTCAAGATGCAAGTACACTAAAAATGCTGTATAAAATAACCCTCAATGAGGTGAACATGAAACACAAATGAATTTTGCGTTTGGATGTGGGTCCTATCCCCAAGATATCTCATTTAGTACATGTAAATATTTCAAAATATCCTCCCCCAAATTTGATACTGAAATACTTCTGGTCCCAAGTATTTCAGCTAAGGGCTACTCAAGCTCCCATTCAGATTCAGGAGTACAGTTTTTTAAATTAGCCTCAAGTGCTCTTGTGTCCGTATTTTCCTTTTCCTTAGCAATTCCTATTCTCAATGACACTAACATAAATACTTTTTTGCTTTATCCCATGACACGCTCAATAATTTCAGAATAACGATTGTAACATCATGATAAATAGAATCATCACCAAAACAGTTAAAGATGTATGTGCCGTGTTCTGTCCAGAGCATCCTTTCAAATCAATCGGAATTCCCTCTGCATGGTCACGCCACTAACCTGACACATGATTAGTCTCATGTGCTTCATTTGCTCTCAGTTTCTGAAGATAGTATCTTCAAACTTTTACCTTTTTTAAAAAATAACTAAATTATGTACATTTTTTTCAACGTCAACCCTACAAAGAAATACATTAAAAGAAGTCTAACCTCTATTCTTCTCCATTCTATCCTCTCCTATCTCCTCTTTTAATCTTATAGGTTATCCTGTTTCTAAACAGGCATATCCTCCCTTTGTAGATAAACAAATCATGTTACACTAGTGATGCTCAAACTCGAGTGGGCATCAGAGTCCCCGGGAGGGCTTGAACTGATGGCTGGGTCCCTTCCCTGGAGTTTCTGACTTGGTAGATCCGGGATGGAGGCCTGAGAATTCGCATGTGTCACAAGTTCTCTGATGTGCCGGGATCCCACTTTGAGAACCACAGTGCCCTACAAACTCTTACCCACTCCCTCTGCAATTCTTATTTTGTTTTTATGCTTCATGGTACTCTATCACGTGGCTATGTTTTGGTTTATTCAACCAGATTCTTGTTCGGGGACATGTGGGCTGTTTCCAGTCTTTTTTGGTAACAAACATTACTGCCAAGAATAGCATCATTCCTATTGAATCTTTTCTATTGATCCTTGGAGTAGATCTTTGAAAGCAGAATTAGCAGGCAACAGGGTAATGTTGAGCTACATCCTTCACCATAGTGTCTGTGCCATTTTGCTTTGGCACAGTTATTAGAGCATCTGTTTCTCCATGGCCTTGTTGACTAAAGTTTAAGCATGATACTAAATGTTCAGGCATAATACTGTTTAAAAATCCAAATTAGTTGTCAACTTTAAAACACTGGAAAATATAAATATCCCAGTTTCCGGTGTCTCCTGAGAAAGAGTAGAATCCACGGGCAAAGGGCCTCGAGTTTCACATGACGAATACTATCCTATGAGACCAAGCAAGCACCTGGATTGCCTTAGCCTCCACCTGGGCCCTCAAGTTACCTGGTGGCATCTGAAGCCAGCCCTGGCTCCCAGGATTGAGAAAGGCCTTGACCTGCCCAAGGTCCTTTAGGAAGCATACATCAGATTGGAGCTTTTCTCTGGATTTGCTCGTACTCTCCAAGTTTCTTGTTCTTCTTTCCTGCTCCCTGCTCTACTAAACCTGGGATTGAGCAAGATCAGGCTGCCTTTCCTTCTGTTTGGGGATCTTTAGGATCATTTGAAATGCCAAATTAAAACATAATGGCCTCAATGGAAATATGCAGTCTATGTACGCACAGCCTTAGTAAGGCCTGAAGACTTCTGCGCAATGGTGTTTTGTGATACTGTGGCTGTATTCCTATCATGTATCAGCGAGTTCTGATTGACATCAACAATGTAGCCTTATTGGAGAATCAAATACAAGTTTGATCTTAGATTTATAAAGCTCTGTGGGCCTTGTCAATAATGGTTTTACACAAAATGCAGTAGCTCCTGGATCTGTTAATACTTAAATGCCATAGTTTACCATGTATGCCACCCCAATCCTTTTTTAAATGTATGTAGTTGTATATATTACACAAATTAGAAAAAAAATAGATATTGACTTCTAGTAATTCAATTCTTTCAAATTGAGATTATCTGAAATGAGACAGTGTACAAAGAGCCAAAGCATCTGATAGTCAGGGCTGTCCAACTGAGCAAACAGGGCAAAGGGTGACTGGACAGGTAACCAGAGTGTGATTTTAGGGCTTCTTCTGCTGCAGTTTCCCCCCTCCCTCACACTCTCAGATTCTGGGAAGTTTTCCTGGACCCTATGAGAAGGCTTGGTATGCAGACAGCACCCAGGAAGGTAACACTCTAATGGTACAGATATCGAGTATCAGCACCTTCCTGAGGATAATACAGGGGCAGGGTGTGTGTACGTGTGCACACACATGTTCACGTGTATGTGTATACCTGTGTGCTTGTTTACCTTGGCTCTGAAAGGAGAAAGGCACCAAGGGAGAAGAAGTGGCTAAGGGTAAGGTGGGCTCTCAAGACGTACTGTCCCTTTCTATGTTGCCCAGGGCCAGCTCTGCTGAGAGTCAAGATGAGGGATGGGCACCGGGGCGGAGGTGAAGGCAGGAGCCCTTCCAGGTGTTTCCAGATCCCTAAGAGCAGACCAGTATTCATGGGAGCAGGAATGGGTGGCCGATAGGGAACTTTTATTTCTATCCCTCAAGAGAACTGCCCGCTCCTTATTCTTGTAGGAGCAGTAGGAAAAAAGCCACTGTATTCTCCTTGGGTTGGTCAGAATTTCCTTAACTTACGCATACCACAAAGGTAAGCCAGGTCAAACATGAATCTCCATGTAATCTCCAGTGATCCAGATAAAAGCAGAAGTCAACTGCCAGCTTTACCTCCGTCGTTAATGACCTCTCAATTAAAACAATTTTTCATTCCTCCCAGAGAGGAGCAGCTGGTGGGTTTCAGAGAACGTAACATCTTCTAAATTTCAGAGTGTTGAGTGAAAAGCAGGTTATGCCAGAACTTCACGATTCCCTGCTTCCACGTGCAAGTGTGGAGAGCTGAAGTCAGTCTTCTAATTGAACTTGGCAATGTTACAATGAAAAATAAGATTTGGGAGTTGGCAAGGAGGCACATAAACAAACTTTTATGTGAATAATTAAGCCAGAGCTAAGCATATGCTGGAACATCTTTAATCAGTTTGTGATTACAGTTACCAGTAAAAGCCAAATGTTTCCGAGAGCTTCTATGTTGTTTATATGCTGCGGTTATTTTAACATATCTCCTTTGATATACTCAGACTATCTTGTTACCATTTCTCTCCTTTCCATTTTTTTTTCCTCTTTTTTAAATTCCTACCTTTCGGAGAATCAATTATGACCCTGAAAACTTTGAAGAGTATCTGTGTGTTTAAGCATGTGTGTACAACATGTTACATATGAACACACACAGGTACATGAAAGGCAGGAGAATTTACACATAAGATCATCAATGGTCTTTACAGAACTTCAACAGGGTGTTATGTTTGAATTCAAAGCCATCTGGAAGGATCTACAGTCAACAGAAATGACCTTGTGGAACAAGTCTGGAGCCAGGTCAGGCTGGGACAACATCCTAAGTTCACATTGGACTTGAGGCTCCCAATGAGGTGCTAATTCACCGCTGGTCTCCAAGCACCTTCATGAACTTTGCTTAAACCTTTGTACATTTCAAACCTTTACACAACTGTAGAAACCACACAAACTTCTGCTGAAACACAGTTTCTGCCAGAGGTTTTCCAAACAAAAGCTGTTGAATTTTTAAGAGAAACTTAAACAAGATAGGTTTCTATCTCTACCAGGTAGCATGTTGAGAAAGAAACACAGTCAAGGGCTGCTGGGCATGTCTCAGAGCACGCTCTCCTTCCAAGTTCAGAGCCTGAGCTCACTGCTGGGTAAGCTTTAAGTCAAATCTGCTCCCAGTGTTTTCCTAAGTATTAACACCGCTTAAGAAAAATATAGGAAAATGACTGCATTTTAAGGTGTAGGAAATCACTCTGCTGCTTTTTATCCCATAAAAGATAATTATAAGGGCTGGGGTTGTGGCTCAGTGGTATAGCTCTTGCCATGCATGTGCAAGGTACTGGGTTCGATTCTCAGTACTGCATATAAATAAATAAAATAAAGTTCATTGACAATTAAAAAATATTTTAAAAAAAGATAATTATAGAGACCAGGCTAGTACCACACTTATTTCATAGAAAACATTTAGATTCTAATGTATTTTTATAACAGATTTAGTGGTATGTTATACATATTTATTTTTCTAACATTTTTCTACTCTAGACTCTCCTCCTCCAAGCTTCAAGTCTTTCCTGGGAAAGAGTAACATTCTCCAGTTACAACGCTAGTTCCAGGACAACTACTAAGTCAGCCTCTTCCTCTTCCCAGTAGTAGTGTTTTTTTTTTTTCCTTTCCTACTGAAACAAATGGGGGGGGGGGGGGGGGGGGGGGGAGAGTGTCCAACTGCATCCCATATAGAACAAACCAGCCATTCTAACTCTAAAATGGAAACAATCCATACTATCGGCCTTGGCGGGCCCAGAGAAATGAGACCTGCTTACCTTGGACACAAAACATTCCGCGATGGCCACAGGATCATTTTCACAGTTTTCCAAATCTTGCAGAAGTTCACTTTAAACAAACAAACAAACAAACAAACAAACAAACAAAGACCCAGGAAGTATTAGATGGAGTCTTCTGGTTGAGGGCATTTTACAAACTTAAAATTTTAAACATTTCTAATGCATTTACAAGGAATCATAGAACTGGATAACTGAAGGCCTTCTGCCATTTGTATGAAAGAATTAGACAAGGGGCTTGTCCAAAGGCATAGCAGAGCAAGGATTTAAACACAGTTTGGGAAACTCCCACCAGAGATAAGTCCTGCCTGAAATTTCAGTTTTCTAGACTTTTGTCTTTGGCTGCACAAATGCTCACAAACACTCACTCATTCATCAAATGACTGCCTGGGTACCCCGTGTAGGGCCAGGCCCTCAGAACACACCAGTGAGCATAATGACATATGGTGCCTGATCTCTAGAGCTTCCAATGTCCTGGAAGTCAGACATTCAGTGACAAATCACACTAACAACTGAGACATGCCAGGGGAGAAAATCGCTCTCCTCAAATATAAATTTATATTAATTTTTAGTGACAGTGTCATTAGTTTAAGTAACTGCTCAGTCTTTCATTTTGTGGCTATGCCATAATTCATTTAATTAATCTCCCAATGTCTGATAAAATTCTGTAAGGGGAATTGCTGGGTCAAAGGTCATTCTCAGCATAAATATTATCATACTTCCAAATTGCACTCCATTTAAATTGTATTAATATATGATTTAATATGCTGAATAATTGTTTTAAGATACTATGTATTACATTATGTCTTTGCTAATGTCATATATAGTACATTAAATTTTAATAAATTTTAAAGAGTTCTATAGGAATTAGGATAGAAACACTTTGTTGCTTTGTGCTTCTCATTCTTGATGGGCCACTGCAGAGAACATTTTCAACCCTTCAGCTGCTCCTGCTAGGCACGCCCCTATTTCTATGGATATTAAGAGTGGATTTCCATTATTTTTCAGTTGCAGCTATTTCTTGCTTATATTATTTTCCCCAAACTTCTCCTCCTGCCATCATCTCCATCAGTTCTCTTTTGTAGCTTCATGAGATTAAATGTCTGAATTTGTATCTTTAAGACTATGGAAAGAGTTTTCCCAGTTTAATCTCTAGGCAGACACCAGGATCTCTTTTCCTTCTTGTAGAACCATGTTTTCCCTGGAGTTAAAATTCTCTCTCTCTTTTTTTGCTTTTGCTTTGTTTTCAAAGTACGCACCAATGATTTTCATCAGTGGGCCAGCAGTATAAATCTCACCCACTGGGACAGAACATCCGACAGCCCACCGGTTAGGCGTCTTTCCTGTGGTCTCCCTCCTGGAGCCCACAGCCTGCCCTGTCCTGCACATGCTCTTCTTCCAGCTGCTGGACATGCTCACCAACAGCCTCCTGACGATGTCTGCGGCCTATCTCCTATGCTGGATCCTTGCTTCTTAGGGGCCAGTTCCTATGTATCCCTGCCTTTGAGAGGTGACAATCGCCAGCAGCTTTCTGAGAAAGGTAAAAGGAGGACAATTTTCTGGGACTGTTCCAGTTTCAACATGTTCTTCTCTTCACACTGCTGCATGATGTCAGTGGATACAGAATTTTTGGTTGGAGTTGGGCATGGTGGTACACACATGTAATCCCAGTGGCTCAAGCTGAGACAGGAGGATGGAGAGTTCAAAGCCAGCCTTAGCAACTTAGTGAGGCCCTAAGCAACCCTTATCTAAATAAGATTTATTTAGATCTTGCCTCTAAATAAAATGTAAAAAGGGCTGGGGATGTGGCTCAGGGGTTACACATCCCTGGGTTCAATCCCTGGTAAAAAAAAAGAAAAAAAAAAAAAAAAGAATTATTGGTTGGAAGTCATTTTCTCTGAGCATTCAAAGGGCTGTCTGTTGCCTTGTAAATTCCAACAGTGCTACTGAGAGTCCACTATCATTCTGATGCCCCATCAAGATTCCATATGACCCGTTTTTTGTTTTTTCAGTTCTGGAAGCTTTTAGAATTATGTCTTTGTTAATGTTATTCTGAAGCTTTGCCGCAGTCCGGCTGCAGCAAAATAACCGGGGGGGGGGTGACGAACAACTTGTGTACGTTGATACAGCAGGAGTGGAAGCCGTTTATTGCAGGACAGGAGCAGTATTTATACATTCCACACAGCTTATCTAATTAGCATAAACTAGATACATCAGTCAACCAATCAGGAATCTCCACACTTAATGGCTCGCTTTTGTTACTTCTCAAACCACTCCCTCTGGCATTTTGCCAGGCACCATCCAGACTTCTTTACCAACTCTAACATTCCCCTGGCAAAATGCCAGGTGTTATTTTGACTTGTTTACAGACTCTAACAAAGCTTTGAGTTGGTGGGCTTTAGGGTGGGTCCTGTTCACATACTGGGTCAATTCAAGCATGTGGGAGCAGATCTTGATCTCAAAGTGTGGTCCAGGGACCCTGCCTCAGGAAGAACACAGGATACTATTTCATAAAAATGCTGAGATGCTATTGGGTTTTTACTTTCCCTCTATCAAAAGAGTACAGTGGCTTCTTCCAGAGGCTATTTGATGTTCTATATTAGGACAGACTGAAAGTAGGCGTGGATATGAGAATTCTGTGTCCTCTTAGGTCAGAGTAAGGTGATTTGTGAAAATGTAAAACAATTCCAAAACACATCAACATTGTGAAAAAAAAAGTCGTAAAATCACTTTCCTTAAACATGTGGGTTTAATACATTATTACAGAAACTGATACTTAAACAATTTCTCAGTTTTAGTTTCTAACATGGTAAACAAAATATTAAAAAACAAACAAAAGCAGCTTTTGGGGTGTCTTTAATCATTTTTAAACATGTAACAGATCCTAGGACCAAAAAGCTTAAAAGCCTGTGTTCCTGGCTCCTGTCTTAGATGCTTCCACCCCCACATTGTGGAAGGTCATGTTATTCACATTTGGGATCTCAGGATCTAAGTCTCAAATTTTTCTTATTCATCCTCTTCTTTAAACCATCTTCTTATTTACTGTTCTGTTTTTCTGGAGGAGATTTTAACTTTATTTCCTCTCCCTTTTATTGAATTTGCCCTCTTCTCCATTCAACCTATTGCAAGCTGTTGTGGTGGGGCGGGGGTGGTCTGTAGAAAAAAACCTAGTCTCACATGGACATGTTGTTAGAAAAGGGAGGACTATTTTAATGGACTTTTCAGATCAGGATGGATATTCTTCTTTGATATTCTACTCAGACTCAGTAAGTGGGGTTTGTTAAAGGTTTTCTGGAGTTTGAAGCCTTACCAATAGGCTGTGCCATTACTTTGAAATCTACTGCTGAATTTTACACTTTGAAAGGATCTTTTAGGACAGTCCCAATTTGAACATTCTTCACAATAGTCTTATAAAAAATATATCCTTGATTAATTTTTTTTTTTTTTTTTTGGTACTGGGGCTTGAACTCAGAGGCACTTAACCACTGAGCCACATCCCAGCTCTATTTTGTATTTTATTTATAGACAGGGTCTCCTGAGTTGCTTAGCGCCTCACTTTTGCTGAGGCTGGCTTTGAACTTGTCACCCTCCTGTCTCAGCCTCCCAAGCTGCTGGGATTACAGGTGTGCACCACTGTGCCTGGCAAAGATAAGTTTTAATGTGAAAAAATTTACTTCTGATGCTTATATCAATTATCTTTTTATAGAAGGATGGGTTGGTTAAACTAAAGATAGTTGAGCTCTGAATACTGGACAAGGTAAGAGAGAAGGTGGAAGACAAAGGACGGCCAAAGATACCATTTTTGGAGTCACCGTGTCCTCCCTGACTGGAGGATGGGGTGCTGCGGGTGGCGGATTTATGTCTGGATCTCTCAATAGAAATTTCCTCTTTCTAAGCAGAGAGGAATTTTGAGCAGACTCCATCACGCTCCTTCTTGGAGCTTAATAGAAACACTCCTTGGCGTATTTAATTCCTGGTGTTCTCTCTGTTAGGCTCATCATGCTCCCTCCATGTATTAATTCCACCCCCCGAGTAGAGTGCTGGGGGGAGGAACTCTTCACCAGGCTCCAGGTGGAACCTCACCTGTAAGCAAATGACTGGCATTCTCTGCCCCAAGAACCACAGAGCCGGGAGGGAAACTACGGCCCATAAAGAAATGGCCGTTCATCTTAGGTCACACAGCTCCTAATTAATGGCTCAGCTGTGGCGAGCAAGGGGCTGAGTCCCGTCCTGCACTCTACTACAAACACATCTACTGAAGCAGTTCTTCCCTGATTGACTCAAGGAGGCTGAGGGCCAGTCTTCAACATGGTCCTGCCCACCTGAGAGGCCTTGTTGGTATTACCTGGCCAGCTGTCCTTTACAGCCCTTTTCTAGAATAGGATGAAAACGATAAGAATGGAAATGGTGAGAAAAAGGCCATGGGTTTGCCTCATGCTTTTACACTGGGGCCACTGTCCCAATAAAGCTGTCCTACCTGCCTGTCAGCTTGCCATTCAACTAGCAATACCGAAGGCTCCCCCTCTAGGCGTGGATAGAAGGCTGAGATTATGGGGTAAAGACGACGGACAAAGGCCCCATGCAAGAAACATGTACTTATGTTCTGATCACAGATGACAATAAACAGCATACTGTCACATGGTATCATATGACAGGAAGGAAATAAAGAGGGCAGCATGACAGAGAGCAACTGAGGCTGGGCGGGGGTAGAAGAGGGTGGGAGGTCATGGAAGGTGAAAGAGAAAATCACTGAAGAAACATGGTTGGATTTGGGCGTGGTGGCGCACGCTCTTGTAATCCCAGCAGCTCAGGAGGCTGACACAGGAGGATCTCGAGTTAAAGTCAGCCTCAGCAAAAGTGAGGTGCTAAGTAACTCAGTGACACCCTTTTTCTAAATGGAATACAAAATAGGGCTGGAATGTGGCTTAGTGGGTGAGTGCCCCCGAGTTCAATCCCTGGTATCCCCTGCCCCAAAAAGTTTGGGGACTTTAAGGGGCTGGTCCAAATGAGGAAAATGGTACCTTTGTCTATCTCAGTTTTCTGACCATTTAT